AAATGTACCGAAGATCAAGTTTTAGCGAACCTCAAAACCTTGTGGTTTCAAAAACAGCTGGCTCAAAAAATGTTCAATAGTTTTTTTTACTAATTTATTTAAAACGTATTGTTCATACAAGCAATAAGTCGCATTAATCAGTCATACACAAGAAAAAAAGAAAATAACAAAAAACTTTTGCAATTTCGATCAAATTCCCAAAGATTTTGATTTTTAATTAGAATTTCGTAATATTTCTTAATTTTAGTTTTATATGCTATGAAATGATTTATAAAATATTCAAAGTAAAATATATTATTTATATATATATGGTGCAATTTTGATCTATAAAAGAACTATGTTTTGTTGGAAAAACCCGCAAAAACAAAAAAAATATATTAAAACTAAAAATGTTTGGATTATTAAATAACAAAAATTTAGAAATATTTGAAATCATTCATTTTACTAATTTTTTTCTTAAGGGACACAGTTACACACGAGACAGCTTAAAAAATGCAATTTTTGGAAATTAAAAATAAACTATTCTATTAAACTTTTTTTTTAAATGTTAAGGGTATATTTACTTATTTAAGAATACACTGTAAAACTTAAAAAAAAAAAAACACAATATTCAGAGTTACACGCGATTTCTGACGGCCTTTCCCATGGATGGAACATAAAACAGAAATTCTTGACTAGAAAATATTATTTGCACAATGACCTACGGTCAAAAATAGTAAAAAATTTATAAAATGGCAGTGTTTTTAGAAAAAGTTGAATTTTACACAAAATTTTGATCGTTTATGGATTGCGAAAAGTCGATTTTTTATCAAAATCAAAAAAACTAGTAGATCATTGTATGGAGAATTATATACAAAACATGCTGTTTCGAACAAAACGTGTTTAAAGATAAATTCATGGAGCTGATCTGAGCGACTAAACTTTGGAGGCCTGTAATTCAAAAACAAATTGAGATATTGATTTTTAATCGAAATATGAAAAGAAGTCGATTTGCTTTTAATTTCACACTAGGTGCGCTCTTCAACTTTAGTCCATCCAATTAAAAAACGAACACTAATAAAAGCTAAAGTCTTTAACAAAATTTGAACAAACAAAAGAAAATATATACATATATATAAATAAACTACAAAAAACTACTTCTTTAAAAGTTATACAGCAAATGTACTGAGGTTCAGTAAATCAGTAAGTGAGCTTGCATACAGTACCACGGTGCATCAGCAAGATAGAATTTAATTTAATTTAGGCACTTGTATGAATGCTCAGTACATTTGATGCATAACTTGAACTACGCTGAACTTGTCAAGGAATATATTACGATAAAATCATTCAAACACTTTTATAGAGATGAAGATTGTATATTAGAATATCATTTTTTTAAAGTTATAGGTTTATTTGCTTTGGAGATAAACATTTTATTGCAAATCCTTTCCTTTCCTTTTTTTAGGGTAAAAACTGAAACTACAGGCGCCGTTTGCAAAAAAAAAAAATCAGCTTGGCAAAAAACGGATACTCTAATGCATATTTATATTTTCTTAAATAGGTGAAAAGATCATTTTTAAAATATTTTAATATAGCTCTTTTACTCCACTGTATTCGATATTGCTCTTGTTTTTGAAAATTTACGAAGTAGATCGGCTAAATGTTTTCGAAATGAGAGAGCAACACGCATAAAGAATGTTTAGCATTTGTGCTTAACAAGCTGAGAGCCTAAAAGCTATGTGCTTGTATACAAATACATAAAACCCAAAATAATATATGTATGTAGTAATATGCGAGTACACGCCAAGAAAATTTTTTTTTCATCGGTATTTCATCAACGCAATTGTTTTTGTTTTTATTGAGACTGTAAACTGACAATCCAAACATCGTTTTTGGAGGCGCTCAGCTTTCTCGAAACAACAACAGTGCGCAGCTGAGTGTTAACCCCTGCTGGGATTTCACTTTTATTAGTACTATGACGTTTAGTCGAACGTGGAGACAGGGCAATTATATCAAAGTGTGTATATATAATATATATACATATGTGTAATTAAGCTAGTATCTATTGGAATGTGCGCTCTCGTTTAACGGCAGACGAGTTGCTAGACAAGAATTCTCGCACCGGACAACTGAAAATGATGTAAAAGCCGCTAATGCTATAAAAATATTGAGAAATTTCGAAAATTTCTACATACAAGCATTTGTCATATAGTTTGAAAATACAAATTATATGTTACTCATACTGCTGATAATATATTATGTATCTTAGGCATATTCGGCGTTTTGACATTTCTCGAAATTATATGCACAATTTGGCACACTCCTTTGATATCATTATTAAAGAATTGATTTCTTTTGTTTACGTTATTCGATTGCTGTTTCGAGCGAACATAAATTTGAAATATTCTCATAACAAATATACCGAAAATGTATGCGGCGATAAAGATTCTGGTTATTTTTAATATAGATATGTTGCTTGTGAGAATTTAATGAGGAGGAGGAATTTGTCCGGCAGGTGGGAAAAGATTTAGAAGCTAATCGATGATGCGTGTAATCAGAGTTTTGAAGTTTTAAGCGTATAAATAAAAAAATAATAAAATTGGATCTAAAATCAGCTCAACAGGTTTATTTTGTAGCTGTGATGAAAGTTGTGTTGAAGACATTTTAAGTTGATTGAAATTTTTTAAAATATTTGTCTCAATTAATATAGAAGTCTTTAAGGGACAATAGCAATTGATACTTTTACTGTCAACTTTTTATCATTTGTGTATACATATGTAGATATGTATTTCAAGAGTACCTAAAAAAATTAAAAATATTCTGATAGTCATTTCTACCCTTGTGTTCATTTTAAAAATGAATCAATGACGGATTCTTGATTAGTACAAATATCGTTATTGTATGAAATAACCAAAAGAATTTGGTTTTGCATAAAATGGTGGATATTCAAAAATGAAGGAGAATTTTTTCATTAAATTTAAAAATTGCTCAATTTTTTTAAAATGTTAAAAATTTGAAATTTATTAAAAAAATTTTGTTGATTCATACGGGAAAGAGATATTTGAAGAGTATTCGAGCCAAATTTCAATTCGATTTAATTGAATTAGAATGAGAGATATCGTGAGGACAGCAACGAAAAAAGTTGTTTCGAGAATAAGGCGTTTAAGTTTTAAGATAACATTAAACCGGCCCAGTTGCTACGACACTTAAAAGACTAACTTTGAAAAATAATTTAAATTTTGAAAAATAATTTTAAGATGATATTTTTCAATATCTACTATATCGAAATATGAAAAAAACGATTTGTTTAAATTTCTAGACTAGAATACCCCTTATGATAACGACATTCTGTAATCACCTTTTGTGTTCTCTTTGATATGAATATGAGCTCAACTAGAAAGATGTTAAAGTTTTATGAAATTTCATTCAACGTTCTAAAGTCATAGGCATTAATAAGCATTACGGCAAATCTGTGCCATCTTATTTAACGATCAAGTTTTTTATTGGCACAAGAGGCAGAGAGTATATATTTGTAGGTTATATGCTATAGTCTTCCGCCGGTTCCAACAAATGAGCAGCTTTTTGGGAAGAAAAGAATGTGTGCAAAATTTATGATCGATATCTTAAAAATTGAAGGACTATTTCGCCTATATATACAGACAGATGGACGGACGGATAGTCGGGCACACAGACAGTAAATCGACTCAGCTCGCCATACTGATTTTCTATGTATGTATATTATAGGGTCTCTGGCGTTTCATTCTGGGTGTTACAAACTTCGTGGCAAACTTAATGGAGAGGCTTGAAACGCTCAAAAATTCCATCCCCAAACACAAAGTCCCCAATATAAAAAATTCCTCAAATTTACACCCCCAAGTTTTATGTAAGTAAATATGTAAACCAAATTACTGAAGGCCGTCAACGCGAAAAGAAGTTCTATTCGAAAAAACTGAACATATGTAGTTACATACATATGTCTTTAAGTTTCTTAAAAAAGTATAATGTTTTTGAGCGTTAAAATCAATCTAACATAAACGCATTTGAAACACGCCATAACGATCGCATGTTTGGGAATTTTGAATTTGAAAAATTTTAATTTGGAGATTTTGAATTTTGGGGCTTTTGTTTTGGCAATTTTGAAATCAGAGATTTCAAGTCTAAGCCATATGTAGGCTGTATAAAGTGTGTGTTAAGGGCATAAAAACGGATGGCAAATGTTTAAAATTTCATTTTTGGAATAAAGTATTTAACCTTTTTAAATTTTCTACTAATATTTTCATCGTTTAATTATCATACTTAATATTTTAAAATATCGAAACAATGAAAAAGTATGTCCGTGAATAAAATATTTGTCAAAACACCGTTGCTATTGAATAACATAGAAATATAAAGCATACGTACAAACACATGTGAGCAGACTTTACTTACATTGAGCTTTCCACCATATGTACATTTAATTTATAATATGTACACACTTTACAATACATGCATACATGCCCATAACGGAAATGTGTGCTTGACATGAGAAAAGCGCACACATTTCCTTTCCGTTTGTGAGCTTTCAACATTTCACCATCCCCAATGAAGGATCTTCACCCTATGTGTATGGATGGTATATGTGTGTTGATGTGTTAATTAAACTCAAAAAAGTGTTGCGCTTGCGCATCATTTACCACCTGTTACATATTTACCGGACCATTGTGGTATTAGCACTGCTACATGCATATTTGCATATACATATAGGTATGCTATTATGTATGTATTAGTTAATTTGGAGTACATTGCATACTTGTTCCCGTTTGTATGTATGTTACTGTTATACACATTCATTGATAGCGTTACGTAGACACATATGTACATACATAACCATTTATGATTTATGTATGCTTGTGTGTTTCACATTGTGTTGCATGCAGCAAATGTGTTAAGTGTTGAGCATTGCAACCACTTGTCGCCACTATTCAACCTTGCTGTCGTCGCCAGTTTCGACTATAAAAGCGGGCGAACCAATGGGCATTTTTGCATTCGTACAAATGTCACGGTCGGCTTAGGACCACAGCTTGGTGGAGAACAGCTCATAAGTGTTAAAGTTGGATAAAATTGAAAGAATATAGAAACAAGTTTTAAGTGCTTAAAAGACTTAAACATACATAATTTTTCTTAAAAACGTTAAACAAATGCTTTGAAACAAGAACTTTCTGTCGAATAGTTAGCACTTCAATCAAAATTGTTTAAATTAAAATTTGCTTTCTCCGTCGAAATAATAAATTTTCCAAATGTGCAACGTTTTACGATTTTTGAGAATTTTGTACATCTTACGCAACATTGTGTGATTTATTTTTGTTCGCAAAATTTATGTATATTTGACAATAGTGCGATGTGCATTAAAGCGGCATACTGAAAATGCGTCCAGAATAGCTATAATTTGACGTTCGAAAATAAAGGTAAATTTAATTACAACTTTGGTGTATTCATGTGTTATTTAATAGCTTTAGGAGAGCAGATAAAAAGTAACAATAACAAATAATAAAAGCAAGATAATTTTTGGTTTTCAAACTCAAAAATATAATTTTTTTTATTTCATTTCACAAATATGTATATTGAAAATTTGAATTCGTTCATACTTCTCAATAAAATTTTATTATATTTTTCCTGTTCTCAAAAAATATATGATTTTATTTTTATTTCAAAATATATACTCATATTATATACTTTTCAATAGCATTTAGGTGGAACATATGGCTTTTTTATTTTATATTAATTTAAAATAATTATTTTTATTTTTTACTATTTTATACTATATGCAAACAAAAAATATATATATGTATAAAATAAAAATATTATTGAAATTATTAAAAATTTAAATAAAACTTTATTTTCAAATGAGAAATAATCCAGAATTCTACAGACGCATTTTAGGCGGTTTCACTGGGCTTGAGTATCAAAAAATCACCAAATTTATTTACTTTCTCGATTAAGTAAAAATAAGAATTTTGTTTAGGGGATAATTATATATTTATATTTAAAACTTAAAGGCCCCCGTGCGGTTGGAGTTCCGCATTTCTGTCTTTGATATAGTGATTTTGCCCTAATTTTGACTCTGACTCAAAACCTTTTATTACTTTGTTTTATTTCGTGTTCTAAAACTATTAAAAGACCGAAGAATGTTCGCGAAAATTGTAGTAAATAAAGAAGTAAAGTGAATAAAATATTAGTTTTAATAAAAAAGAGAAAAGCAAAAAGTTAACTTCTGCTGCATCGAAGCTGCTAGAATACCCTTCACAAATAAAGAAGTTTCCATACAAGAACTTAATTTAGATCGGTCAGCTTGTATTGCAGCTATATGATATAGTCATTCAATTTGGAAAATATGGTATATTCGGAGATTATAGCGATGCCTTTGACAAAAATTCGTGAAGATATATTGTCAAATAAAGAAGTTTTACCACATACTGGCATAAATTTGATTGTTCAATTTGTGTGGCAACTATATGATATAGTAGTTCGATCTAAAAAGAATTCTTCAGATAATGTAGCGTTGTCTTAGAAAATATTCTATGTGTGAAGATATCTTGTAAAATAAAAAAGTTTTTCATATAACAACTTAACTTGAAATTTTGCACATATCCTTTTCTCCCCAAAAAGCTGCTCATTTTTCGGAACCGCCGATATCGTAATAATATAGCATATAGCTGTCATACAAATTGAGCATTCAAAATAAAGTTCTTGCATTTAAAATATAATGTTTTCGGCTACATTAAAAAGAGTAGTCTTCAGAAATACGTACTTAAAATCTTATAGTTTACAGGGTTTCGGTAGACTTTAAAGTATTTTCCCCCTAATAACTAATACTGTATTTGTATTTCCAAAGCTTTAGCTAGCTTCAAGCGACGAATTTATTTTATTTCTTAATTTTATGCCCTTTTATATTATATTATGATTAATGAAGTATAACCTCTTGAAATATATACACATAAATAATTACTAACAAAATTATATTATTTGAGTTGGGTTGGTTATACAATATTTATTTATATAATATTTAAATTCAACTCATTCCGGTTCACTTATTTAATGAAAGCAGATTTAATTACATACATATATACAGACATGAGTACACGTGAAAACAACTATTTTGAATAAAATAAAAATAAAAATTTAAAGTAGCAATTATAAACCGACGAGAGCACCATTTTATATGAAAATGACTTGCCTTATTTTTTGAATGTTAATATGAACGATATTACTTTGTACATATATAAAAAATGATGCCATCGGCATGTAAAGGCGTTAATAATCAGTGTACCTCAATTTATATGTGGTTGCATGCAACCACTTGTAGGTACATACAAGTACAAACACTTTGTGACTATTGGAAAACTATTTTCAAATATATAAATTGCATATAAAAATCAAATATAACGTATGTTAGATAATATCAAAAAAAGTCTCGTTAAGTCTCTCACAAAATTTCGAATCCGTTAAACCGTTAGCTGGCTCATTAATTAGACTCTTTATTAGTACCCACAAATGTCGATGTTTCAGAGCTGCGTTTGAGCTTTGCTTCCACTTGCAACATCATCAGTTGGCATTCGGTAGAGCAATAGAATGAACGTGAAATGTGTGCGCGCTGAATTTAACAAATATGATATTTTAAATTCATATTTTTTTTAGTAAATTATTTGTGCAAGACGGAGGCCAACCGATTTCAAAGAGCAACGTGAATTTTGTGTAAATTTAGTGTTTAATTTACATGCAATTATCCGAGCGCTAAGTGGAAAGCAAATGTGCAAAAAATGCCGTCGGTTTATGAGAGTAGAATTTTAAATTCAGGTATAAATAACAAAATATATATAATAAAAAAATTTTAAACGAAAATTCTTACATGAAGCATGCAATAGAAATGTGAACGTATTTCTGCCGCATTGAAACATTTTTCGACTTAAATACTGTTTTGAGTATAATAATTTTTTAAACTGCCTAGCTTCTTTATTTAATATATGGAAAATATTCACAGCATTGTCTATAAAAAAAACTATAAAATTATAATATTTAAAGGCACACCTAGTGTGCGATTGAAAAAAATATTTTTTTTTTCATGTTTCGATTGGTTATATGAAAAATATTACAAATCAGTATCAGTAATATTACAACAGTCTAAAATTTTAAATCAATATCTCAAATAATTTTTTAGTAACAAACTTCTAAAGTGTAGCCATTCAGTTCAACCATCTCCATCAGTTTATTTTTAAACGCGTTATTCGCGAAACAGCATTTCTCAAATTTGCTTAAGTGATTGGAACTTGGAAGCAAATAATGCGATCACTATCAACTTTTTTCTGTATGACCTGTAAATAGTTCTTCAGTTTTATAATTTGATCTAAATTTTATTTTTAAAATTACGATAACTTTTAGTATAAACCAACAGTGTGACATTTGTAACATGTGTTTTTGTGATCATTAGAAATTTCTTTTATGTTTCTCGAATTCTCTGCTGGGCCTTCGAAAATCATTATATTCGATATAAAGAAGCATTTGCTAGTGCTTTACATATTCATTTGAATTGCTCCAGTGATTTGTGTGAAATACAATTCCAGCCAAAAATGGGAATCACCTACATTGTTTACAAGAAATGCGTAGGAGAGGTTTTTTTTTTATCAGATTACAATGAATAATTTTTTTTAAAGTAAATTACGATGACATTATGAGAGTTTAACGGGATCGCACCTAAATTCAAAATATTTCTGAACCACACCTTCGGTGCTAAATATAAATTTATTGGTTTTATCTTATTCAGTATTACTCGTAAGATAGCCCTAATTTTTGAGCAAATTATACATTGCACGGATAAATTGACGTTTGTACCATTTTATGATAGCTTTAAGAAACTAAAATCTATAATTTATGTATTTTGATTATTTTGAAATGCTACAAACAGTCGATAGATGAACAAAAAAAATTGTATGCATAAATGGAGTATTGCGAATGAAAGTTTTACCTCCTTCATTAACAATTTGAGTAAAAATTTGAGTAACAAAATGAAAATGGTTTTATTTATTATATCTAATTCCCATATCTTTCGAAATATATTCGACATATAAATCAAATAGTTTAACTGTTATTATCTACAAATTTAACCATCTTAAGTTGAACTTAAAGCCGCTAATGTTGAGGTAATTTTTTCAGAGTTTATTCTTATAAATTGACTTTACTTTTCCATAGAACTACTACCTGGGATCGAACCAGTATGTAACCAATATTTAAAATGGTTATAGAGATTTTTAATTACATCTCTCTATACGTCTCTGTTACCACTCGACTGAATTTAGAGTATATTCTCGCCACAGATAAGACTACTTATGAATTCTGGCATCGAACCGCAAATCGCTGGAGCAGCTCCACACATACTTACAGTTAGAATAGACATGTGCTGATAAATTATAATTCTATTGATGATAATACTTAATGTAATGGTAACTTTTCCAAGTGTATATGCATATTAATGTATAAATCATAAATACATACACATATACACCTACTATTTACTTAGCGCATGTATACAGTTATACTATGTTCAAGCATTTACCTATATGCAAGCTTATTATCACAAATAAAAAGCACCTGAAAGCCATTCAAGTCATTTGCATACAAGTCGTTATGAAAAGCAAAATCGAAAGTTTAAAAAGAACTCAATCGCCAACCGTGGGTTGAAGGCGATGCTCGAACTGTTTAATTGTTTGTAAAGTAGAGAGTCGGTAAACACAGCAGTGGAAAAAATATTCACATGAAGATATGTATGTAGATAATGATATCATAGGCATATCTGTAGTAATAATAATACATACATACAAGTAGTTATGTTATTGGAGTGTAGGGTCGGTGTTGAATCTTCAACATCATTAAATAATGTTAGTCGAATAAGTATATTTAAATTTGTATTTTAAGGGTCAACGATGTGGTTTTGTATCTGATTTTTCTCTTAATCTGATTATAACTTTCTTATTTGTTTTGATTATTTTTGGTACAGTGCAAATGTAATGCTAACCCTTATTGAAAACGTGTGCTGACCGTGCCAATATGCCGACACTTAAGCAGACGTCCATTAATCGGGTTAGTAAAGTTCCATGTTTTTTAATTAGTTTAGTCCGCGAATATAATGACAGATATACAAGTATGTGACTTTGTCGTTGCTTTCGAAAGCATAGCGCACTCATTTGTCACATCTGCCCACACATGAAATTTCATATCTGCCGCTGAAATTGTGCTCAAACATTCATCAATTAAGCAATTAATGTAAGCTTAGTTAAATGTTTGTCGGTCGTCGCATCCAAAAGAATGCGTATAATACAATATTATACCAATGTTGCCGCTAAAAATAATTGTACTATAACCATTTGTTGTGATTTATGAGCGGAGAAATATGGGAATGATTTCGATCTTATGAATGAAAGTTTAAATTTTAGGGGAATATATTTTTTCAAAACTATTGCAAGTCTTTCTTTATTAACTATATACGTTGTTTCTGCGGTTATAACTTGAAATAAATTTTGGAACTTTTTTTCATATCCAAAACGTTTTCTCAACAAAGTGTAAACCGACTGTTGACTCTAGCGATACCTTTAAAAAATTTATAAAATATTATATCGATGACTTTGTGTATGAAAATCAGAAGACCTAATTATTTTTTTAGTTTTTATTGAGAGTGAACATTATCTCTTAACCCCAAACAGAGTATATTAAGTTTTCCACGAATTTTGATACTTCGGAGACCCTATAAAATATGTACATATATAAATGATCAAGGTGACAAACTGAGTCTATTTAGTTATGTCCGTCTGTCTGTCAGCCAGTCTGTCCGTATATACGCGAACTAATCTTTCAGTTTTTGAGATATAAATCAGAAATTTTGGACAAGTTCGCTCCAAAAACCTGCTCATTTGTCGGAACTGCCTATATCGGACCACTATAGCATCGGAATCAAGAGCTTGAATGGACAACTTTTTGTTGTCAAGGGTTATGGCCAAAGGCAATAGTGTAATCTCTAAAGAAATTGTACAGATCGGATAAATGTAGCATATAGCTGCCATACAAACTGAACGATCAAAATCAAAATCCTGTAAGAAATCTTTTGTTTTGTGTAGGGTATTATTGCTCCGGTGCAACCGAAGTTAACGTTTTTTCTTGTTTTTACTTATGTTCCCACTTTGTCACATGAATTCATCATCATTAGAATTAAAATAGAAGCTTTTATCAAACTTAATTATCTAATTATATCTAAATGTCATTTGTTTCCGGTAACTAAATTAAAGTCGTCGATTTATTTCTCATATTATATATTAATTATTTTTAATCATTTCCCTAGATTTAGAGTGCGGCGTCGACGAAGGAGAGGACATCGCCTTGGCGATGTCACCGACCGGACAAATAGCTAAGACACCAACACCACGTGACGAAGCAGATAGTGACGATCAGCGTGAGACATGGAGCGGCAAAGTCGATTTTTTACTATCAGTTATTGGATTCGCAGTCGATTTAGCAAACGTTTGGCGATTTCCATATTTATGCTACAAAAATGGCGGTGGTAAGTACTCATACTATTTCTTCCTCTTAATATATATGAAAGTATTTATGTGTTATGTGCTCAATAATTGCTTATTCAATTATTAATTTCGTCTATAAGCAGTTGTTAAAGTCTACTTTAAGTATTATCTTGGTGTATAAGAGGAAATAATTAAATACTCAAAGTACACCCACAAGCTTACACCTAATCTGCCATAATCCGCATGCCAATCTAAAGCTAATTGTGTGTGCGTCCAATTTGCTACAGCCTAGCCAACTTACATTCTCTTACAGCCGTGTCGACATAATAATGTGTACAGCAACGGATGGCAGGAGTCGATTACATTTGACTTAAGGACTCATACATATATAATGATGTGCGTTTGTATACAGTTGAGTGAGTGTGCTGGCTTATTGCTATGATTTATGCCACTTAACACCCGACTGTACTCCAGCAATAATAATTGTAGTAATAGCTTAAGCAACAATTGCTGTCAAACTTTTCGTTTCTTTTTGTTTTGTGAAAGAAAAAGTTTCGCTAAGTGTCGCATAGCTGCAAAGGTACTCATAGACCAATATAAGAGTCTAAGTAAGTATGTCTAGTAGAAGCACCACAATATATGCCATTTGTCATGCTCAACACTTTCACCAGTGAAGTGCTGCTATTAAATGTGCCTCTTATGGCACACTTCCTCGAGAAAATTGCTGTGTTCTGTTTGAATGCGTCTACTCAATATTGCCATCAACACTACATCGCCACCAGTTGATGTTGCTGGTCTACTCGCCTCCTGTTGCCTTTTGATGCTTGCTGCCTGTTGCTGTAGACAAAGTTGGCTGTGGTTTGCCGGTATTCATATCGGGATTGGCGAGTAAGAGTTCGTTAACTTTACTATATGTTAATAGGGGTTGTGAAAATCATTTTACGAAGATCGTCCAACGTTGAAATCGTGCTTTAAAGTGTTTCTAATGTCTAAAGTAATCGGAATTGTTGTGTTTGTCGCATTTAAGAAATTATTTTTATGTTTGAGGGCTTTGGCCTTTGCGCCGCTCAGATGATTTTGACAACGACGGAAGGACTTTCAACCCAACCGCATTTTGCAAGAAAAGGTATGCTTTATGCCACTGCAACAATAAAAACTACAAAATTTTGAAAACTGAATGTTTTTCACCTCTTAATACCGAAAAACGGTACTGAACTTTTGCTAGCCACTATCAAATTCAATTTACTTGCTCTTTATGCGTATGTATGTATGAATGTTTCACTCATAACCAAGGCGAGGCATGCCGCTCGACATCCTCCAAGACAATTTCAAAGTTAAGTGCTTTTGTATGACAACTAAATCTGGCAGTCATAATCGCATTTACCGCTGCCATTGAGTGGTGGTGGAGTGAGAAAAAAAGTCAAGAGCGTAACGGGGAGGAAGAATTGTTGCTTTGTGCATTTGTAGTGGCATGCAGAATCATAAAGTTTGGATTAACAAAGAAAATCAGCAGAAAAAGTGCGAAAAGTGGAGAAAAAACGGGACAATAATGTCGTAGCTTTTCCACAATTTGACTTCGAAAGGGATAAAAGCCTTGGCAGTGCATGCGGTAAAGTGTTTTGGCCTATGAATTAAGGTGACACACACGTTCGTAAAACGAATAAAATTTCAGTACTCATGTGCTAGATACGCGAAGCTTTGTTAGGTTAGGTTGAAAATTATATGTGAGGTACTTACAATTATGCATTGCTCTCTGGAAACACCGAGCGCTGTGTGAGTACTGAAAATTCAAGTTTATTTCAAATAAAAAGCGTACGCCTCATTGCATTCAATCAGCAAAACGGAAGTAAGCAACTGAATGCGCAATGTTCGCCGCAACCCAGCCACAAGTTGGTCGTAATAACGAAGCTTAAATGCCCATGACAACTGACTTAATATAAATTCTGCTGCCGTTTCGATCCTCTATGCTGGGAAATGGCAATACTTATGTATCATTATAGCTACGAATATATTCGTAAAGAAAAATTGAATTGGAAGGAGCTAAATCAGCTTTGACTTCATCTGTGACTAATATATTTTCTCATCATTGCTTACTTATGGCTAATATCGGCTTAAACGAGTGCTTCGTTGCATAACTTCATGTAAATATGTATATTATCTCTATTATAATATTTCTTTTACTGTTATCCTACATATACTTGTATATGTATATACATATATGAAATATAATTACAATATTTGGGCCTGTGTATATATTAACTGTATTAATTTTTACTGTTATGGTACATATATTATATATTATATAATTACAATACTTGGTGGATGCTGATACTCGGTAGTTCATTTTAAAGCCCGTCTGACTCAAATTATAGTAATTGTTGTCAAAGCGATCCCCGCTCTTGGTACGATGTTTCTTAAAATATCGCCTTGAAACGAGAATAATTTTTAATTTTTCTGTAGTTATGACTCGACTACAGCGTCTCTATGCATGCGATATTTGTATGTATTATATATCCTATTATTTCGATACCAATATTTTCAGTAACAGAGATTTCGAACTATATGAAATTTTGTATATTAGTTATATGAGTAGGGAAGCTATAGTTTGAATTCATTTATTTAATAAAGGATGTTTTTCTTGGACATGTGATTTTCAAAAAGAAATAAAACACATAAAATTTAATGTTATGACCAAGAATTTAGCTTTATTATAAATAAGGGTTTTCCATTATGTTTTAAAAATTGATTCGTACCAGCCGCGGTGGCTCGAATAAATTCCAATCGAGAGGCGCAATTTTCTACCACGACAGCAATTGAGGCCACATGTCAAGAATAACGCGCTGAATATTCTCTTTCTAAACGTCAATCATTTTGGGCTTATCTGCGTAGACAAACGACTTCACATAACCCAACAAAAAATAGTTTTGCGGTGTTAAATCGCACGATTTTGGCGGCCACGCGCTCACCAAAAGATTTCGTAAATAAATTAATTGCTGTATGGCATGTAGCGTCATCATACACGAAAAAATAATTAATTATGGCTCTACAAGCTACTTGTACAGTGTTCCCTCTTGACTGTAACATTGTGGTCAGTTTAATTTGAAGATATATGGACCAATGATACCGTCTCCAAATGCGTCCAAAAATCACTCAACAAAAATTTTACTTTATTGCTGAACAAAATTTTCTTGCGAAAATCGGGCTTGATGGTCGTTCGGCTTCAATTTTTGTGTGAGTTGGATTTTGTAAGCCCACAAACTGAGACTCTTCTTAAAGACGGCTTCTCTGAGGATACGCATTATCCACTGCAGTAAATGTGGTACAAAGCAGATCCATGGTTGCTCGAATCACTGACTATGCTGGGCAATTGTGTCGACCGAATATGCGGCAAACCAAACTGACTATAAATCAAGTAACAGCTGTAAAAAATATCAAACTTCACAAAAAATGTGTTGCCTCATTGAAAACCACACGTCTAAAAAACATACCTAAAAACATATCATAACTAAAGATCCGGGTTATATCTAGCTTTAATATGGCGCTAAGCCAGTTTAGGATTTTCAAAAAAAAATCAAATTTTGTTTTATGTTGAAGTACATTTAGGAAAAAAATTTCCTTGTCCAATCCGCTGCGGTGTCGTTAGTTTTCTCACCTTGTTGTAAAATACCTCATACTCCATATCTCCATATCTCCACCTTGCCACATTCAGATATTCAATGTAAAATTCGAAACAGCTAACTAGCTGAAGACAATAGCAGTTTTCATTATAGATTTGCAGTTAACTTGAAAAAAAAACGTGGATATCTATTGGGGAAGGCATGGAAGGTATATGGACTAGTTTTTTTTGTTTTTCTATTTGACATATTTTTACTTCTCTGACCCATTATGTGGTCAGCTTCTTTGTTGATTTCAAATATATTTATATATTGCATATTGTTTCAATATGAAATTCTCACTTAATACTCATACATATGTACATAAATATACAGTGAAGGTATGTAAGTGTGTACTGTCACTTCCCCATTTGAACACATTTCAAGTCACAATCTCAGCGGCTTCGATATCCATTTGTGCAACGGTGGCATCACTTTCTCTTCTATAAAAGAGTGGAATATTATTTTAAGAGGAAATTTGATTAGGTGACGTCATTATTTTATGCTGTGTATTCACTTTAAGGACACACACTAACACTTTAACGATAAATGCCAAGCATCGAAACCATCGAATTTGCATTGGCTACAACAACAATAGCAATGTGTAGTATATAACAAAATATTGAATGAAAATGGGTGCGCACACATACCTACAAACATACACGTGCTTACACTTCCACTAAGTGAGTGCGAGTGCTGTTGATGTTTGATGTCGAAAACGGTATATGCCTTTGTCAGGCAAGAGCAGAGTACTTCAGTTAACAAGTCAACACAGGAACAAAGCCAATAGGACTACAGCATGACGATGGCGATATCGATGTTACTATACATACATATATACATGTCATATATATACTATGTATATAGTAGATGTATGTGTGAGAATGTGGCAGGCCTGTGCATATTTTGTTTTAAAATTAGATTTATATTGTGCTATAATCAAAATCATATTGGTTCTTTTTTAAGTGATGCCAAGTGAAAGTGCGGTGGAAAGCAAGAATGAGTGAAGGGAGCGGGGGTTTTGTAGGACAACACAGTTTTATAAGGTGTTAAATATGTGGTAATGGCTGTGACACTTTGATGGTCGGAAAATGGTGCTGCTGCTGTAACGGGAAAAAGGAAATTAGACTTTCCTAATTGTGGATTTATGGTAGTGAGGGAATAGTGGGAGTTGTGTGAGTAAATCGAATCATAGAAAAGAGTAAGTGGTTGGAAAAGTTTAGCACATAATACAGGCATTGTGTATTGTTCTATATACTTCTCATGGAATTGGTATAAGAAAAAAATCAAAGTAAAGAGTGGGTTTTAATATTTTTTACTGCATTGATATGTGCTTATTATAGAATTTTAATATGAAGTAAGCAATGCAAATGACATTTTTATTTCCTTAACAGTGGAATATATACTTGTGATAGCATTGATATAATTGTTAACTTAATTTGTGAATATAATTATTATTATAATGATTGTCGAATGTATCGAATTTACTTTTGTTTTTAATTTTTTCATCAAAATTAATACCTTTTCATTGAAATAACTGTAAATCAATAATTTTTGTAATAATGTTTTTTTTTATGAATTGAAAATAAATAATAAATTTCTCTACAATCAAATCTATATCGCGATTTCTTCCCATACACCTATACTAAAATAGAAGCATTAAAAAATATATATTGTAAAAGTTATATCTGAAAGATTGTATCCAAAAATGGGAAAATCTGTAAATTTTTTCTTCTAGCGCCATATTCGATACCGAATCTTCGTCTTCGACTAATTTTATTTCGCAAAAAGCAGTTAGTATTTGTTATATCTTAGAGGTGTCGTCGGTCAGTAAGCGATATATTTTAAATTAGTTGTAAATGTTTCTTAATTAGCATTAACATAAAAGGATTCGATATTAAAAACATTAACATTTCATCATTTCTTGCTTTACTTTTCTATAAAAATTTAAATACTTTGTGTTTCTTTAATGCTGAAATGTATTGTACCATAAAATAATATTACTCATACGCCGTGTATACTTCTTAAACTTCTCTTTCGCTATAACTATATTTTACTATACTATTGTATATACTAGTATTTTAAAATGAGGCAAAATTCATTTCCTTATTATTATATAACTTTAAAGTAAGAAAACGAACTACAATATAAATAGCATGGTGTGACTAGATAAATGCCACACACTTATAATTTTAAAATGCTATAAACGTTCGTGCCTTTCATCATACGAAAGTTATAAAATAATTTTCTGCTCATGAAGGTTTCATATCATTTTATGAAAATCTTGTGTCAACATTTTTAGCCGTTAGTTTGCTTATGCAAGTTTTTATAAGCAATGCATCACTGTGGCATTTTTTAGTTTGCTCTGCACATTGTCCTCTTCTCCTAATGGCCATAATTTAATTATAAAGTTAATGTTTGCTTTTGTGAAGTTTTATTAACAATGTGTCTATGTAGCTTATATACCAAGACAACGTTCACAATAATGTTGCTATTAATATAATTTTATCCAGCTTTTGAAAACTTCTAGAAAAGTTTTAAAAAATTATTGAACTATTGTTTTTATTATGTAGTAATTTGCAAATATTAACTTTTATTAATTAAGTACTTAAGTGGACAGTTACAAAAGCATAGCCTTCCTAGTGGCATATAAATAATTATCTATTAGAGAGACGTGTTGAAATTAGCTTTTAACATGATGAATAGGTAAAAATATGATTATGATATTTTTTGGACTATTGCTAAGACATTATTACTTATGTTATAATGGAATATAAATGAATCTCTTTTATCATTACACTAGCTTTATTTCCACATACATACATATAAGTATGTGATAATTCATATTTAATTTCATGGTCTGGTACAAAGTTACTGTAGCATTAAATTTAATCCGCCTTAATGAATCTTAGTAGCTTAGCAGAGTGTGTTTTAGATAACACTGTAGTAGTTTTGTAAAATTATTGATATTGCTTACTTTAGCAAGTAAACAAATTATTTATAATAAAAACACATGGGCTGAAAAGTCCCAGACCTAAAAAAGAAAAACACGGTTTTTTTTTGTTCAAAATTGGCTTTAATTATCAATATAATCACAATCGGTCCAGCGCCGTTCTAACATTTCAATACCACTTTTGTAGAACGATCCCATCTATGTGTAAGTAAGCACAAGCTACTTAGTATTAAATACTCCAGTAGATGATTGAAGATTAGCTAGTTAGATTTAAACCAGTTGAAATTAATATAGCTTTCTGCATCAAGAGGCTAAAAAGGATTGTAGAATCTAGAATACATCTGTTAGCATAATAATATTTCAAGGATGTAATTTTTATGCGAGAAGTTCATTTAAAATTGATATCAATGACTAAAAAAATTTGTTTTGTTGCCCTGGATATGTTAGCAAGTTTTGATGTTTTCAAATACTCAGATTACGAGTTTTTTCCTCAAAGTGTTGAATATGTTCTTGTTTTTATGATAATGGTATATCTTATATTTTGATCAAGTATGGGACGTTTAGCAATAAAATTTATTTTCCAGTCATGATTAGGATTCTGCGCACCTTTTTTGCGTTAACAAACCTCTCCTTAGTGAAAATATGCGAAATATTATGCATTAAGAAGTTTTTAAAGTTTGAATAAAAATGAAAGCTAGAGATATTTACACAGTTTACAAAATGTTCTATTTTACTCAATAAAAATCTCGCTTTCGTTTCAAAATAATTCATGTGGACTTCCAAAAAACCATTGATGCCGCCAGATTTCCAGATATCGGTACAGTCTATCGATGGATGTGAAAGGGCGGGAGAAATATCTACGCCAAAGTTATTTTCTCAAAATGTCCTCAGTATTTTAATATGTGATCAAGTTAGGATTAATACAACATTTTTTCCAAGCATTGGATGTGTAATCATATTATTTTAATAACACCTGTAGAAAATTTCCGAAGCTTAGTAAGAAAAAGTTGAGAGGTAGAGTATTTGATGATCATTCTTAAATACAGCAATTAATGAAAGGTATAGACTGTACTGTTCTAGAGTTTTGTATTGATGGTCCTAAATTATGAAGAAATTGTGAAAAATATGCTGACAAACTTTTAGAGTCTAGAAGCAAATATGTGTACCAAGTTAAACTATGTCCGCAATCATCTGAATAAATTTTCGTATACTCTAGCTTCGAAAAAGAGTTTTTATTGAAATACGTTTTCTACGTATAACATATGTTTTCGACAATTTTCGCTCTGTTTACTTTGACTTTTCAAAACAGATCTGACATTGACTAAAGAAATCTGCTATCTTGTTTATGTTTTCTGATTTTTGTAATGTAAAATAAAAAGAAGGATTTAAAAAAAAACGACAGCATATCTTACAAAATCATTGATAGTTTCATGAAATCTGGATACAAATATTCTAAAATCGATCGTATCTAGGGCAAAAAAAAAACATTGTAGAGCAGTGCTAAAATAAAACTTTTTTGATAAATTAGACATAATCTAGAAATACACAAAATATTGTTTATTTACGTATCAGTTAGGTGGAACCTTATACTTTTGCTATCTTGTTTCATCGTTGCGCTCAAACCATTTGGTGCTCTCAATGAAACTACTTATGTCCGTTATATTTTTTGTGGACAACCATTTAAGGTTTGTTGCCTGATGGGTGCCAAGTATTTAGTATCAGGTTTGTGTTAGAGCCGGGCATTCACAGAGAATGTGAAACGTTTCCTTATTCCCTACTTTTCCATTCACGTCTAGAGGGTGTCCTCACCCTAAAATGACAATTGAAATCTTACTTTGAAAGGTTAAGCCAGTAATTTATAATTTTAATATTTCCGGTGTAAGTTTTTCAATAATAATTTACCAAAGTATATTGAACATAAATATGAAACACAAGTTGTAAGTTTTCATTTTGATAGCGAGTTTAATTAGCCAGTTTTCTATATCGTTCTATATCACTAAAAACCTTACAAATTTGATGTCTAAAATTAATTTTTTTTTATGATATGTCTTGATAATTTCTGTAAGCAAAATACCTTCAGTGTTGTAAAGCTATATATGCATCCGAAAATGCTGAAAATCAATACCCCGTTCATAAATCTAAAACCTGTGTATTGTTATTGTTTACTAAGGGATGCAATTAAACGTTCGCCCAGATTTTGATTAAATTGGAAAATTTTTTTTAATGTAGTGTTATTGGCGCCTATATTCTGTTTCACACAATACCGAACTAACATGTTTCATTTTGTCGTAACGGGCACTAGGTAAACATTAAAAGAATAAAAAGTGCTTTAATAGTAAATTAATGTATTGTAATAGAGTTGATATAATAAATCTTGAATTTCATATTTCCAGGCGCTTTTCTGGTACCATATTGTATTATGCTGTTAGTAGGTGGTATACCATTATTTTACATGGAACTAGCATTGGGCCAACATAACCGCAAGGGTGCCATTACATGTTGGGGACGCTTAGTGCCGTTATTCAAAGGTAAAAAGTGTGCAATATTAATTTTCAAGTCAGCTTAACTTTTTTTTTTTAATTTTGAAAATTTAAATATTATAGGCATCGGATATGCAGTGGTGCTGATTGCTTTCTATGTTGATTTTTATTATAATGTTATAATCGCATGGAGTTTACGTTTCTTCTTCGCCTCATTCACAAATAATTTGCCCTGGACGTCGTGTACAAATCCATGGAACTCGGACTATTGTAAACCGGTAATATTTTTTTGTTAGAAAATTATTTGCTTTAAATAAAATAATACAATGTTTGAAATATTTTTTGCGCATTTGAATTTTAGTTTGAAGTACAGCAAAATACAGTTCTTCCAATACAACCAACCATCCAATCGCTAAATATTTCTATAAATTACACCGATTTTTCATTTGACAATCATTCCATAGTAAATTACGAGGGAAACAAAACTTGGGAAAGTACAACGACAACAGAGCGATTTCATTCCGCAGCATCCGAATATTTCAAGTGAGTTTTGCTCTAAAACATTTCTAAACTTTTTAGTTAGCAAATATTTGGTAAATACCATATGTCATTAAACACTATCTAGATCTATTAATTTTGAAATTTTTATTCTTGCAGTCGTTATATACTGGAATTAAATCGCAGTTCAGGTCTAGACGACCTCGGCCCAATCAAATGGGATATGGCCGTTTGCCTGCTGGTCGTCTATCTCATCTGTTATTTCTCCTTGTGGAAAGGCATTAGCACGTCCGGTAAGGTTGTGTGGTTTACGGCGCTTTTTCCGTACGTTGTGTTGTTGATATTGCTCATACGTGGCATTACACTGCCTGGATCGGCCATGGGTATAAAATACTATTTGAATCCAAATTTTGATGCCATATACAAAGCGGATGTATGGGTCGATGCGGCGACACAAGTGTTCTTCTCATTGGGACCTGGTTTCGGTGTGCTTTTGGCGTATGCTTCATACAATAAATACCACAATAATGTTTACAAGTGAGTTTTTTCTTCATTATAAATATTTTCAGATGTACATTTACTTTAATTGCTTTTACCACGAAATTAGAGACGCGCTACTTACGAGCTGTATTAATTCGGCTACCAGTTTCATTGCTGGTTTTGTGATATTTTCCGTGCTGGGCTATATGGCACACACGTCTGGACAAAATATTGAAGATGTCGCCACGGAGGGGCCAGGTTTGGTATTCGTCGTCTATCCAGCGGCCATTGCCACTATGCCTGGTAGCACTTTTTGGGCTTTAATATTTTTCATGATGCTACTAACCTTGGGTTTAGATAGTTCAGTAAGTGTAATATACTTTTATTGTTGTTGCATTTCCTTATATTTCTAATAACACTTTAATTTTTAATACAGTTTGGCGGTTCTGAGGCCATCATAACGGCTTTAAGTGATGAATTCCCAAAAATCGGCAGAAATCGCGAGATATTCGTTGCCATTCTCTTCTCGCTCTACTTCATTGTGGGCTTGGCCAGCTGTACTCACGGTGGTTTCTATTTCTTTCAATTACTGGATCGTTATGCTGCTGGTTACTCAATACTTGTAGCGGTATTCTTCGAGTCAATAGCGGTGTCGTGGATTTACGGTAAATTTTTTTAGAAAAAATCGTTTTAATGTTCTCCCTTTTATTTGACACATCTGTATTTCAGGCACAAATCGCTTTTGCGAAGATATACGCGACATGATCGGCTTTCCACCAGGCAAATATTGGCAAATTTGTTGGCGTTTTTTAGCGCCGCTTTTCCTACTCTTCATCATAGTCTATGGACTGATCGGTTATGAGCCGTTGACATATGAAGACTATATATACCCAGTGTGGGCCAATACGTTGGGTTGGTGTATAGCGGGCTCCTCGGTGATGATGATACCAGCGGTGGCGATTATCATGATGCTAAAAACACCGGGTACTATTAAGCAGGTATATTTATATTTTTGCGAATTATATTTAAATCATATACCAAAAGGAAACGTCGGAGATCCTATTAAGTACATACTTATATATATGATCAGCATGAAGAGCTGAGTCGAGTTAGACATGCCCGTCAGTATATTTAGTGTTTGAGATATCGATCAGAAGTTTTGCGTTCTTCTCTCTCTAAGGATCAGCAATGTCGGACCACTATTGCATATAGGTGCCATACGAACAGACCGGTCACAATCATGCCTTTGTATGGAAGACTTTTTAATTTGACCAATTATCTCTCCGAAATTCGGCATGTATTATTGTCCAAGGCTACGCTCTAATCTTCGTATATTTTGTTCAGATCGGACGACTACAGCATATAGATGCCATACAAACTCATGGATCAAAATCAAGACCTTATATGTAAAACTTTTTTATATGACAAAGTATCTTCAGAATATTTGGAATGTATTATTGTCCAAGCCAACGCTACAATCTCCGAACGAATTAATCAAATCGGACTACTATAGTATATAGCTGTACAAACTGATCGTTAAAATCAATATAATGTATTTTTTACCCTTTTATGCTATAAGAAACGCACCACTGAAGGATATAATACTTGTAATACATAGGTTCAGTGCATTCGAAGTTAACGCTTTTTCTTGTTTTTATTTACATATTTATTTGCAGCGCTTAAAAATTCTCACCACACCTTGGCGCGATCAGCAAGTCTCAGTTAACGGCGTGACCGCGGAGGCAACACAAGTGCGGCTCACAGATGCCAAAGAGGCTGCTGAGGTCTGAGATCAGCCATTTGCAAGATTCAAAGTGTATTATGTGTGATTTTCTTGCACCATTGTTATGTGCAAAGTCTGCAATATTATTAAAGTTCTACTTTTTTTTTTTGTCCAAATTGTGTCACTTGCACATTTATACATATATACTATATATATATTTGCCTGCATATGTAATTTGATCACTAGTTAATGTTCACATGAAATTAGGGAATTAGTTTCTAAGTATTTGATAGTGTATAAATATAAATAAATGAATTGTTAGTAGTCTAATTAGAAAATAACCTAAAATTTTGTACACTTATACAAATGCAAATTTCACAAACAACGTAATTTACTTAGGTTTCGCTGGCATACATACTAGTATGAAAGCTGCACAGCAAGCAGAAAGCTTCAAACAACCATTGCAACACTTACAAGCATACATACAGATGTAAGTTAAATTTACATACATACATATGTATTAGTGCGTAGTAACGTGTAGGCAGTGAGAGACCCCAACCAGAAAACCGATTGTACTTACGTTATATAAGTAAATATACAGACATTGAGAATAAAAAAAATATTAAAATTATGTATGTAAGTTCATTTGTTGTTGCAGTTGTAGTTCATAAAACATAAAAACTCATTAATACAGAGTTATGTACAAGCATACGTACATGTATGTAGAAAAACCTAATGATTTTTTAAAATGCTGTGTAGATAATATTAGAATTGAAAGATTGGAACATGCCAAGTTACAGGTGTTATAAAAATAAACAATAAAAAATTTATCTGATTTACAATAACAAGTATAAAATCTACCTATGTACAATCAACAAACTTCGACATAAGTTAAAAATTACAAAAAAAAGACAATTATGTTTGTATATTAAAATGCGATAGTTAAAGCTTTAAAACGTCCTCCATGGCAACAGACTCAAAAGTTGTCCTTTCAAAAAAAAGTATAACAAATAAATATTAAAATATTTTATATATAAAATGCAGAAAACAAATGTTAAACTATAATAATATATCTAAGTAAAAAAAATATATATACAAGATATTGTATACATAGATACATATTCGGGGCAGCGTTACGAACTACTCATGAAAAAGTGAGTGTTGGATACAAGTAATGTAATGTGACCGCAACATGTTTACCACACAGCCATGTAAACAAGTTGCAGAGCATTACTTAAAACATTTGCTGTACAGTAATAAAATTATGTAAAACTTTTATTAAAAAAAAAAAATTATTTAATAATTTTATTACAAGTAAAATTCTTATTAATGATATTGTGTGAACAATTTTTCAAAAATTATTAAAATTGATTTTTTTTGGTTAAAAAAATCTGATTTGGTTATGTTTAAGCCTAAAAATATTGTTAAAGCCTTTCAGCAGCCATTAAAAGGTTTTAACAAACTAAACAATTTTTTTTAACAAAATTTTTGAACTTGATTATTTAATTACAATTTATTATTTAATTAATTTTTCCTGAAAATAAATTTAATATTGCAATATAATAATATAATTATATTATTATTAAACTGCTTATTGTTTTTTTTTACAATTTTTATTACCTTCAACATTTATAAAAAAAAAAAATAAATATACACTGATTATAAACATTTTCTTTTAAGTTTAAGATAAAACTTTTTCACAGCCATGAAAAAGTTTTAACAAAAGTAATTCAAATATCAAAAACATCAAATATGTTTTTGTCAAACCATTTAAAAATTAAAAAAAAATTTTCTGTCAGTTTCAACGTATAATACTTTTAATTTTTAAACAAAAAGTTAGTAAGTTCGTATTTTTGGCACTTTTATAAATGTATTTTATATAAAAAAGTGACGAATAAAGTCAAATATTTTTCGACAGCCATGAAAAATATTTGACCGACATTAGCTAAATGAAAAATTTAACTCAGCTAAATTTGCTTATAATATACATAAAATTAATTTAACACTTACTAAGAATATTTATGCTATTACATTGGATTATATTAAGATTTAGTTTATGTGACACATCTAAAATATGCTTTTATACTAATTCAGGAATTAAATAATTCTAGTAAATACTATGTTCGGAAGTATTTGGGCTTTCAAAACAGCCATTTGAAAACTCAAAACACGCTAGTATAAATTTATTTTTGCATTTTTCGAGTCCTCTAAACGCTTATTTAAATATATAATATATACCTAGTAATAACGCTTCATATTAAGTTTAAAATAAATTTTGTTTTAGAATTAAAAAAAAAATATCGTTTTATTTATGATAAATGTAAAAGTGTTATGTTTAGACTTATATTGGTAAAAAATGTTTGAGAGTATGTTTAATTGATTTTTGAATCAAAAACTCAACAGCGGTCTACTCGCGGCAGTCAATACCGAGCCTCTGAGGGTATACTATTTCTACCATGAGCATGTTTGTCATAAAATCTAACAGCTGTTCGGAATATGCTTGAAACTTGTGAGTTACTGCACTTGTTGAAAAATATCAAGCCACACACGACGTTGGAGTAGAAAAGTTGTGTATCTTCATCAGTTTTCAAATACAAAATTTTCATACAAGACCTTAAGGAGCAAAAATTTACTCAACTAATGTGCTTTACAAAATTTCTTCTGTCAAAAAAATTTCTTCTGTATAAGAAACTTTTTTATAAATTTAAAATTTCGTAATTTTCAGCTAATTTTTTTAAGATTTTAATTATTTACAAACAAACATAAAAACATTATTTGTTGGATGTAGTAGAGTTTCACACCAACAGATTTAATATCAGATAATTTATCTAAGGTATGTCATTTGCACAGGGTGTTGCAGAGAAAACTTTCTCAAGCAGCTGAAAATTTTGTATTTTTCTTAATATAGCCTATGTACCGCATCAATTTTATAGCAATAAACATAACATATACATATATATTTAATTGTTGCAATGACCCTAAATGGCATTGTATATAATTTATATTTATATATATAATCAGAGAACGTAAATGTATTAACATTCTCTGCTATAATATTATTGTAGTCAATACATCCACCACCACCAAAGGGTCCAGTAAAAATACGAATAGTGTCTTCGCTAAACACAGAATGCCTCAAATGAAACATATTTTATGGATAAACTTGATTAAGTTTAGCAATCAACAAGTTTAATTTGATCACTTCGCAACTGCTTATGCACGTTTACATACATTTATATATATATGTTAGGCAATAATTTATCAACAGAAATTGTAAAACGAACTGAAATAATTAAATAGGAAGTGATAAAATTTTCCTGCAAAAAGTTGTTAATCTAACACGTAAACTCTACATATAAAAACAATTAACAATTAACTATTTGACTTACCGTTTCTTGCCTTCCAGCGTTTGTATATGGTATATGCATACATATGTATTTACATATAACACACGTATGAATATAACTGTTTGTAACTTTTCTCCATTTTCGGGTACTATGCCGCCATTTTATGACACTTTATATTAAATATTTTTTATACAAAACTATATGCTTAAAACACTATTACAAAAAACATCCGAGTCTACCGCAAGCTTAAATGAAACAGATTAGCGGAACTTCCTATGGAAATCCCTTAAGAGAAACAGTCATTATTTTTAATTGGAAGTAGGTATTCCGATAATGAATGGCGAGTTCACGCCAAACAACGCCAAAATGCTGATAGTTAATTCGATTTATTATAGTGGGGTATGTTAGCTAAGCGATGAAGGCAGAGAATGTTAATAAATTATTTGTTATTAAAAATTATTTATTATAAAAAATTATTTATTATTAAAAATTATTTATTATAAAAAATTATTTATTATAAAAAATTATTTATTATAAAAAATTATTTATTATAAAAATTATTATTAACATTCTCTGGTAGGGCGAATGCTGCAATGAAAATTTAGGGAATTATTACTTACATATATACATATGTATTATATATGCTGCTAAGAATTATTTAATTTTTAAATTATTGTCGATTTATATCTGAGGCAAAATCTTTAATAATTACGTAGCTTTGTTCACTTATTAGTTATGTTATGTACAACCATTTGTTTGTTTCATACTTTTATTTAGTAGTATAAAATACTAGATAAGCCTATACATATTATAATATATTATGTAGATCCATTCCAGCCCGAATGAGCGGAGCATTACTTTACGAAAACCCAAATATTTGTAAAAAATATTTTTAATTTTAAATAATTAAAATTCGGTGAGGAAAATTTCTCCGAAACGGCTGAATCGATCGACTTGAAATTTCCGTTTTGATGAAAGGAATAAAATTTCTGGAAACAATTTCGAATTTTCAGCCATTTTTTTACAAAGAACTCTTTTCTTTTTTGGGAAGCCGCCATTCAGTCAAAAATTCAAAATTTCACTAGTCCTTTTGTCATTAACTGTATTAATCTATAGTAATCTATAGTAAATAAGATGTTTCTAAGCAGAAAAGTCTTCCTCCAAAATTTTTCAAAATGAATCATTTATTATTAAGATGCATAAAATTCTATGTGCATTATTTTTTACTAATTTATTTATTATAATATACATTTAAAAAAATCACAAAAGAGCGCGTTTTTTTTGACTTGCTAGTGGATATAACCCCTTAAACCACGCATAATAACGGCACTTTAAGGCAACGAGGATCAATCTCTCTATTTATACGAGTATATGCATTTTTAAGAATAATTTGTTTTATTTAACAATTATTAAAATTAATTATCATTATTTTTGCTATTAAGTAATACAATTTTAAAGAGATATTCTAGTAATAATACCTATGTATTAAAAATAAATTTTCTAATCTACTTTCTAACTATTATGTACGTTAGTATATGGGTCCTACTAAGTAATAATTGTATTTGTTCAAGTATTAATTTACTTATTCTAGCAATTACTAGAAACCTATAAGCGATTATTGATTTATTTCTCTTTATGTGTTATACATATTTATTAAGTATGCGTCCACGCTTAGGCTTATAAAAGTATTTATTGAATGCATATACTCAATCTAGTGTACATTTATGCATTTATATATTGACAAGGTGTTTCAACGTCGGTATGTAAACATCGAAACACTTGCAAAAAACTATCTTTCCGTTTTTTTCTTTAAGGAGTCTACAATTTTTTAATACAAATTCAGTAAAGTGTTCACCTTTATTGCATGCAGAAGTTTATATTTTTCTCTGTGTTTTACATTACGATTTCGAGAATATATTTCGGACGGTATATCAATGATTATGTCTTTAGTGTTTGAACTGAGCTCATCAATGATTCGATGGTTGTAGGTTTACAACTTGCCACAAAGAAGAGTCAGAGGATTAAAATCTTTAGATCTGAGTGGTCTGTCAATGCCACCACCTGTTGACCGCAGAAATTGATGTGGTAACGTCGTATTGAGCGATATCGCGTTTTATCGATCATTTTGTTTCAAAGTCAGAGAGTCAGACAGTGAGTACTAAATTGAACTTTTCAAAGCATGCTTAACCAACTCAAACTGTTAATAATTCATTGTTTATATATCGACTTAAAATCTTGCACACCCTGTATGGGGCATTAACAACTTAACTTAATAAAATATGTATAACTATTAAATACGTAATTTGTGTATCGATTTTAATCTATTTATAGTAATGACTCCTGCAAGTGAAGAGAAATAGTAAATATAATTTAATATGCATAACTATAATAGCATTCATATTTCTAATAATTAAACATTTGTATGAGTAAACAAAAAAATAAGTGTGAGTATTTAGTCACCAATAAATCAAAAGGATTTTATGATTTACCTATGTTAAAATTTTGCCCTTGGGCATTTTTCATTCAACTTTTTAATATTTTCTATTAATTTAATATAAATTTGCATTATTTCGACTTATTTATTTTCGATAATATATATAATTGTGGCAGTAGTCAGCCATTTTACGCATACATGTACATACATTAGTTAAGCTGTGGCGTGTTTTATTTGCACACAAATCTACGCATAAATAATTGGCGAGGGCGTAAGGATCCAGGTATCTAGGTTAAAAGCTTTTTAATATGAGTGCGTTATTGTATTACATAATTACAAGTAAATAATGGCTACACATATCAAAGAAAGATAATTTGCTTACATTACATGCATTTGAATTGAAATCTACTTCAAAAGTTATAAATGAAATTTATACTCATACTTACCTTACAAAGAAGATTTTTTCAAGTACCTTATTTACTTCACATATGTACTCGTATGTATTTGTAATATGGAGAAATTGAAATGGAATTGAATATGATTTACATATATCATAAATTTATAGTAAGAAAAAAAGGAGATTCAGATTTAAGTATACATATGTATATGGTTATCAAATATTTATATTATGTTCTGTAAGTTCTCAAAAAAAAAAAGAATTTTTTAATGCGAGTATGTATGTACATATATATATTAGCTATAAATTCATAAAAAAGTTTGCCTTAAAAAAGCAAATTCAACCGTTAATATATTTTAAACGGTTAGGTTTACGAAAAAATCATTAGAAACCAGTTTGTAGAACATTTAATTTCCTACAAAATCTATGAAGCGAGATATTTTTTCAAGCAGTTAGAAGCAAGATATGAATTTTTCTATCTGATAATAAGAGAAAAATAGAAAATGTAAGGCGGAAGACCTTCCCGTTACAATTAAGAACTCATACTTGCAGAGATATTTTTTAGAAAACCAAGCGAAAAAAAATATTCGTTTTTTTAGCCACCCAAATGTATATGTATACCCACGATATCCTGGACTTTTATAAATAGGGTACATTTTTACCTATTTAAGATTTCGTGTATTTTATAGGGTTGACAATAATGCATTAAAAATACTTTAATTTAAAACCTCGAAAATCTTAATAAAAAATAATTTTAAATTTTTAATCCCCAAATTAGATTTGGATTAAAAGTTCAAAGTTTTTGAATACAAAAATACGTAATGCTGGAGCTTTATATTGCGCTAATTGCCTTATATCACGTTAAGTGTATTTTGAAAATGTTTCAATACGCCCCTTTTGGACTTACTAAGACTTACTAAGAGTCTCTTTAACTTTTAATTTCTCATGTCGGGTTTAGATTTATTTTGTCTTTAAAATTCTTGATTACATTTCATCTCCTTTCCATTTTTTTCTAACTGGGGGTTAGTTCTTTTTTCATTATTCCAAGCGGATAATTTCTTTCTAGCATTCAGAGAGGCTCCCGCAGTAGCCAGCTCATGAGCGCTGTCGTTTTCGGATATAGTTTTATGACTGGTAAACCAAACTAGAGATATCCGAGTTGATAGATTTTATTATTCGTTGCGTAGGTATTGTACATGTTATTTATTCCTCCTTACAGTATCTCTCAATGCTTACTAATCCATCACGAAGACGCTGGTTGAGTCTGGGGAACTGAAATACAAAGATATAGTAAGTTTTCTACGCACGAGCCCTCAGAATGTCTAAATAATACTCAAAGACTTTACTGAGCTTTCTCATTTTAGATCCTCTGAATGTCTGTTTAAGTCTATGTGGTGAGCTGAGAGAGATAATGTGATGCTGAGTTCTCTCACTATAAACTCCTTAATTGTCTGGTTGAGTCTAATGCTGGAAACAGTCACCGACGCAAAACCATAGACCGAATTAGCTGAAACGACCTATCTTATGAGAGTACAATGTTAAGACCCTACGGTAGGATATCCCCGAAAATTTGGTTTTTTCCGTAGAAACGATTGAGCTGAGACTGAGAGAGCAATTTCTTGCAACGCAGGGTTACCAGTCTCGATATTTTGTAGCATTTTAAAAATAAACTTGATTTTATTTGAAATATTCTTAAAATAACTCAAAATCACAGTCGAATGCGTTTTTTTATAAATAGGTAGATTATATTTAATAGTTGGATTTTAGATTTTAGTAGAAAACAAAAGAGGTCAACTGATTTCTACGTTGCAGCTACGGGCATAACTTTTGACAAATTTGGTTCGATACGGGCGGTAAGTACGGAAACGCGGAATGTCAGTGACTGTTTGAAGCATTAGTGTCGAACTGATAGAATGGAAAGCGATGCTAAGTGTCCTTATTATACAAGCAGTTCATCTGAAAACTATGTTGATACTAGCAGTAGTACTGAGAGAGAGACAGAAAGATATGCAGAGTTTTCTCATTATAGCTGCTCTGAGTGTCTGACTTGAGTTCCCAGAAAAATATTCTCAATAATTTTAACTCACAAAATTCAAAGAAAACACAATGTGGCATTTTGCTAATAGCAATGAGTTTTATGCGTTTTATTTTCAATTTTTCATCTCTGCCTTTCCCATTAGTTTTCATTGTGTTTTTCTGGTTTTCTGTTTTTTAAATTTAATTTTGCAATTTTTTACAGATAATGCCGGTATACATATTTGTATGTTTTTGCCCCAAGAGCGTTTTCCACAACATTACGTAATAACTGCATACATTTACATATATGTATATAAATATGTTTGTGTATATAAGCACATACTTATATATGTATACAGTGATAAGTGAACTGTAAATTATAAAGCAAACCAAAATCAATAAACTTATAAAACATTTATTTAATCGCACATAAAAATTTGCAAATTTATTTTTAATTTTAGGAAATACATATGCACATTAGTATGTTGTTTGTATAGTGCTTTTTCCAAAAGCAAATAACTTTTTTTATTGCTTTACTACAAATGCAATTTATTTTTGTTTAAAAGTTTATTTTCCGTGTGATTAATTCTACAAATTCTATTGTTGTACTTAGCGCATGGAAAACTAACGGTATATATGAAGGACTTTGTGTTTGTGATTTTGTTGTTGTTGTTGGTGGATTTGGCTGTTGCTACTGCATTATATTAAGCGGATGATTGAGTACATACATATATTGGCATAATAATTAAGAATATTAATGGATTACCGTTTTCACTCACGTATGCAAATAATTTGATGGATCTGCTTTGTGGGTGTGTGTGCGTGAGCTGCATATACCAGTATATTACCATTAATATACTGCTATAAATAAGCGTTGAGTCAAGGTTTGTGAGTTTAAGACAATGCTTTTAAATCAAGGGCGCAATTTTACTGTTATTTCTGGCATTTGAAATAATTAGGTCTGAGTTTTTGTTGTTAAAGTAGTATTTTTTGTTCTTGTTATTTGCAGCATGTCTTCTAAAAAAATGTTGGTACTTTTTTTATTAATCTTCGATTTTTTAAAATTTGAAAATCTTATTTTTTGTAATTTTTAATTTATAACAGTAAACCTTAATCAAAAATCCATTTTTTAACAACTGAAAATACCTGATTTTTATTATTATTTTTTGATTAATAATGGTTGAAAATGGTTAAAAAAACTATTTTGATTTTTTAAAAACTTAAAATAGTTGACTTTTATTATTTTTGTCGAATAAAAAAAAACATAACCTAAAATTTATTTGGAATCTGAAAAAAACTGAAAAATCTTAACTTTTGTTATTTTTGTCAAATAATAATAGTTAAATATCTCCCATATATATAATAATAGTTAAATATGACTTAAAAAATATTTATAATTTTTAAAAACTTGAAATACTTTACTTTTATTATTTTTATCGAACGTTAATAGTTAAACATAACTCAAAAAAATATTTGAATTTTGTACAAAATCACTTTTATTATTTATGTACTTATGTCGAATATTAATAGTCGAACATCACCAAAAAGTATTTTTGGATTTGTTAAAAACTGAAAAAACTTGACTTATTATTTTTGTCAAATATTTATAATTAAACATGCTCTACAAAATATATAGATTTTTTTTTATATAGATATTTTTTGTCAAATTTTTATAAATAATCTAAAGTAAATATTTGGATTTCAAAAACTGAAAAATCTTGACTATGTTTTTTTGTCGTATTATAAACGGCATACTTAACCTAACAATTTTTGGATTGACGTAAAAACTTGCACTTCTATTTTATTTATTAAAAATATAATAAACGTCAGAAATTTTTTGTTTTTCTGATTTATTGGATTTTATTTATTTATTTTTAAATTCTCAAGCTTTGAAGTAATAAAAAAAAAATAAATAAATGTGTTGTTATTATTTCTCAAAATTACTTTGAATATAATTACTGCGATTTTCAATACACAAACTTGTAGTTTTCGATTATTTTAAAGTTTTTAATTACGTACTTTAAAAAATATTTTTTTATTCATGGTTTAATTAATTATATTACAAATATATCAAAACAAATTTTTTTTATGTATTTTTGTGTATATACTTGTTTGTATATTTACCTTTGCGTATACAATTTCGACTTGCTGCTTTTATCGAATTTTTCGCATCAATTATACATACATACATATGCAGGAGTATATTATATAAGTTATATATATAATGTTTTTTTTTGTAATATAATATATGTTTATATGTATATTTAAGTGTATGCATAATTTTGTATATTGCATATGACGGTATTACTTACTTGTGTGTATAGATAGCATTTATGAATAGCTGTGTATCTATGTATGTGGTTGTATGTACGCATGAAAATATTTAATTTTTATTTAATATTTACTGCATTGCATTGAATCTGCTATTATGTAAGTTTGTAATTAATAAGTTTTTTTGTTTTGTATTTGTATTTAAATTTTGTTTTTCGTTTCTATGCGATTGATATGGTTAAGTTGATGAGTTGTGTTTTGACATTTACTTGAGCTGTCAATTCTGAGTTGTTGACGTTTCGGTGACATTTGCACTTGCGCGTATATATCGGTATTATATTTGTTTGCATTTTGCTTTTAAAAACTATTTATAGGTATACTTGTATGTATGAGTGACATTTTAAAGTAATTGGTTTTAATATTTGATTTCATTTTGTTATATCGGCAATATACATGTCTCTGTGTGTGTGTCACGGTATATATGTATATATATATATATGGTTTGTTAATTTTAAGTTTTACTTTTTATTTGGAAAGCCTGTCAAGTTCTATATAATATAGTACATAAATACATTTAAATGTTAATGCTTTTATTATTTGTTTTTTTGTTTGTTTGTGTTTTTGGTAGAGAAGGTGGCTAGGTTGAGATTTTTGTTGCATAGTGTAGTAAATATTTGTTGCACACATACTGGAAGGTTTTATACATTTTATATTATGTTACCTATTGCTTGTATGCACTTATCGCATATTCGTATGTAATACTATATGCAGTTATGTATTTATATAAGTGTAAGTTTTTTGGTTAAAAGTTTTTTTTTTTTTTAAATTTTAATTTGCTTTGCTTGGAGAAGACACAATTTTAAATTGACATATTGTGACTGAGTGTTCAAAAAAAAAAAAAAATCGAAGCTTTTAACGTTTAATTGTAGGATTCGGTGAAATAAAATCAATTTGAGGAGAATTTATTGTTAGATAGTGCATTTAATTAAAAATAAAATTATTTCATTATATAATATTGTTATTTCGCCCAAATCAGTTACTTCCTTGTGACAAAAGAAAAGCGCTAAGGTTATTTTTTGTGTTAAACATTAAAAAGAAGTCTATATGTTGCAAGTATCTGTTGAATGGACCATTTAAAGAGAAATATATTTTAAATTTGTGAGCTTTTAATTTTTAGAGGCTTTTATAATTAATTTTCCAAGGAAAGAGTAATTAAAGGGGCAGATCTAGTGTCTGTTGTGTAGAGTAGCCTAGAAAAAGCAATTTTTAGCAATTAAAAAAAGAAACAAGAAAAAACGTTAACTTCGGTTGCGCCGAAGCTATAATACCCTTCATAAATACAAAGGCCCCTTACAAGAACTTGATTCTGAACGTTCAATTTGTATGGCAGTTATATGATATAGTGATCTGATCTGACCAATTTCTGTGGAGAATAATTTGTTGCCTTAAGCAATAACTCGTGCCTAATTTCGTGAAGATACCTCGTCAAAAAAATTTTTTTCCATGCAAGCACTTTACTCCGATCGTTCAGTTAATATGGCAGCTATATGCTATAGTCATCCGCTCTATACAATTTCTTCGGAGATTAGATGAATGCTTTAAATAATAATACACGCCAAATTTTATGAAGATACCTCGTCAAATGAAAGAGTTTTCCATACACACGCTTCTTGGTAAGAAAAAGACTTGTTCAAAATTTCAGATCGATATCTCAAAAATTGACGGACTAGTTCGCGTATATACAGACGGACAGACGGACGGACGGACAGACAGACGGACATGGCTAAATCAACTCAGCTCGTCACGGTGATCATTTATATATATACTTTATATGGTCTCCGACGTTTCCTTCTGGGTGTTACTACTGTAACTATTAAGGTTATATTTATATATAATTTAAGGATACACAGTAGAATTTTCGAAGATAAAAATTTATTATTTTTCAAATTACATGTGATTTCCGACGACTCTAAAACAAAAGGTCCTTCACTGCTGCAATGATTTCGGTCTTTGCAGTGGATAAACCCTATGGTAAAAATTCTTTACTCGAAGATATTGCGCGTATAATGATCTAAGGTTGGAAAAAAATTAATATGTTAAAAAAATGACGGCGTTTTAAAAACAGTTGAAAGTGAAGATTTGGTCGTTTTTGGCCTGCAAAAATTACATTTTCGATAATAAAACTAATCGATTATTGAATGGAAAAACATATACAGAACCTGCAGAACAAATTTGATAGTGATCGCTTCATTTGTCTTCGGGTAATCACTGCAGCAAATTAAAAAATGTAGTTTTGAGAAAAACGCGTTTAAATATATACTGATTGAACTCAATGGCTACAATTTGGAGGGTTTTAATCCAAAACTCTAACTATTTAAAATATCGATTTAAAATTTTAGCGTGTTATGTTTGAAGGTCGTTTTTTTTTAAATTTCACACTAGGAGTGCCCCTTAAGCCGTATCCGAAAGCCCCATGTATCATTTTACTTATATTGAAAACTAGTCTTTACGCTCTTCGCAGTGATAAACCGAATCTTCAATCACTACAACATGGAGGCAGACAAATGTCTATTTATCTTTGTTCTTACTTTTCATGGAGTGGTATAGGTGTACTATTTATTATAAATAAAATTTTTACAAAACAATTTAGAGCATAAAATTACTAATGTACTCGAGTAAAATTTTCCTATAAAATATATTAAATAAAGTTAATAGATATTTACAGTTATTGTATTTAACTTTTAGAATTTAAAAATTTGTATACTATAAAAACTAATGATAACGTTTTAAGTGCGCCAAGTAATAATTTTTTGTTTTCAGCACATATTTTTTGAAGCTATACAATAGTGAAGTAACTGTTCGGGGAATTGTGAACATTTTAATACATACGAATAAAAGGCAGCATAATTTTGAAAACTGCATGTCATTATACTGCTGTGAAGCCAATTAGTTTTAAATTAATTCATTTATATGAAACAAAATATTTTTCACTCTGCACCTTATACATATATCTAATGGATCTCAAAGAGCTGAAAGCAGGCAAATGGTAGAATAGATATTTTCTTATATAAAATTTCAGTTTTGTTTAAAATTTTCTTTAAAATAACAGAGCTTTAGAAGCATTGAACCATTAATATGTACATATGTATATATAATTATTTATTTCATAGAATTAAACATTTGTTTGGTGCATAAGTTTTTCTTGTGCTAAACAAAATTTGAAAATAATCTTTCTTTCATCAGTAGAGCTGACATTATTTAACTATATTAATTACATACCTTAATTATAACAAGCTAATAGTAATGATTAACAATGACTAATAATGGGAAAAAGTTAGCGGTAACCGCTTAACTTACGCGCTTGCACCAACATTTGCTTGTCGATCATCAGATCTCAATGAATATAACTATGTATGTGTGTTCTGTATATGCATTTAGGTCTATATATCGCATATAAGACCTTAATGTTTTCAGACGTGTATATTCAATATGAGTTATTTTATATATAATATTTGCACACACGTATTTGCCATGCTTTTCAATATATTCATACTAAGTACCGTAATTGTTTTAAATATCTATAAGTGGTATATGCCAAAGTATAAGTATAAATTTTAAGCTAATTTTCTTTAATATCCGTTATAAATATTTCTCTTTTCTTTATGTTTTGTGTTTTAAGATTCTTTAATATTGTTTTTTTTTTGTTTTTTATTAGTTAGTTTGTAATTTTTTAAGTACCTACTTGCCGTTTAAATTATTCAATACAATAATAAATTTCTTTCCGTCACATTTGTAGCTCATTTTCGCTTTTTAAATTTCAATAGCGCAACGAATTTCATTCGATTTGTTTGTTTATATGTTTTCAATGCGCCGATTTTAGGTTTGTTGTATAGAACTTAGAAACGCCGGATCAACTGAGGCGACTTTGGCGGTCAAAAAGGCATGCATACAAAAGAGTAAGCTTTGCAGCACTTGACATTCCAGTTCCTGTTTTAATGGAAATATATAAGAAATGAAGAAAATATGTGAAACAAGTTGTTGTTTTTATTATTATTTACTGAAATAAGTATACAAAAAACACTAATATAATATCATAATGGTTGATTATCATTATAGAAAAAGTTTGGAATTGTAAAATCGACTGTCTTCATTCATTATATCAGCGTTATATGGCTAAAATGCTGTTGAAACAATGGATTAAACATTAAAAAAACAAACTGTTTAACACTTTCGAAAAGAAGTGGTTAAGAGAAGCAAAACCTTTATTTTAATTTATATCTTTAAGAGGGCACACCTAGTGTGACAGCCAAAAAAGTCAGTTTCTGGGATTTAAAAAACAAAGAAAAATGACTGCATTAATTAAACCACTGCTAAACTGAGGATGAAACATAAAAAATTGACTATTAGCAGATATTGTCCGTGCAATGAATTACGGTATGAAAAAAATTCATTTTGTTATTTTTATTTTTAATTAAGAGGAGGCTATACTTAAAAATAGATAAATGGTAAGTTTTAGTTAAATTTTTTACTATGGAATTTCATCAGATTGATCACTAAATAAACTAAAATCTGTGAAAGTAATCAAGATATTTAATTTGTGTTTTATATAAAAAACATAGCTTTCATTTACAAGAACTAGTGCATAGCTAAAATGATTGTTTAATAGGTATCAACGGCTATTTAGGATAATTATGACGATCAGCCTTTAATCGACGATTTAGTTAGATGTTTAAAAAAATATTTTCAGTAAGAAAAACCAAAAAACTGTTTTGTTTTATTATTTATTTGCGATATAACGATTCTAACAAAGCTTACTATTTTCTAAAAATAACAATTTTTTGAACTATTTCTGTCTACAAAAAAATTCTAAACAGTTTGGAAACGTGGTTTTGAATAGATAAACCTTTTATTGTTCAATTTCTACATGAGTCTTACATTTGCGTTGAGACAAACTTTAACAAATATCATCTGAATTTTTTTGCTAGCTTTTGCAGGGCGTATACGTAACAAATAAATAATCGAACGCTGGCTTAAAAACAGGGCATTATTATTGTAAATGGTGAGAGAATTGAAAGCTTAATGACTAAAAACACTGTGTGAGCAAGTAAATATTATATAAATATTTGACTCTCAGTTAAGCTAAGAAGATTTTGAAAGGATAGTTTTCTAATGCTGCAAAAGCTATAAATCATAACTAAAAGAACCGAAATTTTCTATTATAGAAATGAATTGCAACTGCTTTTATTTATAATTTATTTATTCTAGAATAAAAAATCAGGTAGATTTCAGATGATTCAGCAAGTATGAACTACTCAGTTTGACTGAATGACAAGAGAAAATAGTGTTTTACAACTGAAGTTGGTAAGTGCTATTTATGTTCGAAGCAAGATCAAAGGATATATACAAAAAAAATTTCCATTAAACTACTGGATTCAGTTATATAAATAAATACCATGCTAAGTAATTATTGGATGGTAATATAGCCTAAAAATACCAAGAACCAGCAGGAGAGTACTACAGGCGTTAAAGACGAAACCACATATATGGAAGGAAATGAACATATATGAACAGAAATAATTGAAATAACTAATTTCTACAATTTTTATATCTTTCTTGGCTATTTAAAAAAAGGTGAACACAAAATGCTCTCACTTGAAAAAGGTGAGCTTATGTTGCAATACTGCCTTACTATCATAATGTTAGCTATTATCTAGGCTCATGGAGGACAGATAGATATTTAATTGTTTTACATTTGCTTTTGAAATACTTTTTGAAACGCCTATAAAATATGTTGCTCATAAGTCCAATTGTGCAACATATACTAAATTTTAGAGAATTTAAATAGCCTCTAAATAGCTCATAGGCTCTAAGGGAATCATTTTCCAAGCGAAACATGTTTGAAGATTTCCGGAAGATTTTGTCGTTATTATTAAATCTAAATTTTTTATGTTTTTGTTTTCACTAAATTAGGTAGGGAGGTAAACAGAATATTAGTTTTTAGTTTTTATGTTTACTAACTTATTTAACTTTAAAGCTGTGACCAGAGTGAAGTCTTCCATAATTTATAATATTATAAATATAAAATATATATTTTATCTATCTACTTAAAAATCATTGAAACTCTGCTGCAGGAACTTATTTCGAATGAGTAAATGTGTAGAAGAAAAAGAAAAACTTCAAACAAAATAGCTTAAAAACCGGACCACAACTTTTACCAAACCAATTTAAACTTTTGTTTTTATAAAATCCATACTCCATTAACCACCATATTTGCAATAAACAATATATTTTTGTATATAATGAAAGCAATCAATATATGGGTCACTAAGTTTCAACTACTACAAATGTACCGCATCATTGTAAAACAATGAGTTTCAACATAAGCAATTCAACATCTCTTCAACATCACCCCACGTTCGCAAATATATGGATGAATGTGTATACCTTTAACCTACTTCATCACACAAACTAAATAGTACATACTAAATCATAAAGATCATAAAAACAAACAACAGCATAGTATACTTTTTTTTGCCTAGAAGGCACTTCTCAAGAAAGTTTTTCAAAAAAAAAAAAAAAAACTTCGATATAAAACTACTCTAAAAGCAACTCTACAAAAATTGTATACAAGACGACTACAGACTGATGGGGGGGAGGGGCGACATGAGAATTAAAACAGTGAAAAAAAATTTTAAATGAGCAGCTACAAACGAACCACTCTCCGCCAATGCTCTCACGTAGTGTAACTGTATAGAAAGCAATGTAAAAAGAGCAAAAACAAAAAAAACAACTACAAACTAATACCGTTATTTCTATTCAAGAAGAAATAGTAGGCACTTCAAGAAAAACAGCGAGTAAAAACTGAGGAAATAGTAGTGAAATAAAAGGATGGAGTTATGGCAACAAAACTATAGCTTCACTACCACTTCGACGATATTGGTACTTGTTACTTATACGCCACGCCATACCTACGCTACGCTTTCAAATGCACAAAACAAAATGAAAAGTAGCAAAAACAAGTATATGAAGGCATAACAGAAAAGGGGAAATTGTGAAATGGTACTTCGATGCGGCTGTCACACGGCTTTCCCGGCAGTCGCCTGCTTCCCGCCACCCGTCCGCGACATTTCTGCGCTTTCACCATTGCTGAACTCATTACCATCAATCACTAGCGTTATGTTGAGACAAAGTGGTTGAGGGGAGTGTTAAGTTAAGGAAATATGCAGTATATACCGAACTAAGCTGGTGGCTATGCTTGGATTAGCAGTTCGTGCTGCTTGCATACACATACATACAATACAATACATAAATACAAACTCGCACATGTACTTACTTTTGTTTCAATTGCGCGCGTTTCATGATCCTGAAAATGTAGTTTTAATTTTGATTTGCCGTCATCGCTGGAACCGCGCAGTTGTGAAAATTTATACTGCCAAACGATGGCCGAGTCGGCACCTTCCGCCAGCGAGAAACCCGACTGCCAGTCCAAAGTTAGACCGCCACTTTTGCCGTGATGTGAGACGGCGAAAGTTTTGCGCTGAAAAGTTATGAAAAAGATGTGAAAAGTAGCAAGAATTGGAATAAGGAAAATTATAAAATTATACAGTATTGTGATAATATTCTTAGATATAGTACTTTACTTATAACTATACATATATATTTGTATTATTTGATTAGTATAAAATAGCTTATTATAGTAGTTTGAAATTAGACTGAATACGAAATAAAAAATATTCTTACACATACAGTGGCATTTAGTGACATTAATCCGCTGCCATTCATCTCAATGAAGCCGCCATTTTGCAGCATTTCAACGTAATGATTATGAGTTGTTGGACACTTACTCGGCTTAATTTAGAAATAATGTGACGGCGTTGTGGCAATAAACGAATCAAAAAGTTTATGCACTTCTAAGTTGAACTAGTGGATAGTAGTTGGTAGATACCTACGCGCTTATAAATATGTACGCACTTGTACTTAGTAGGAAAAAATAACTGTATTTGTAAAAGCTGTTTGTGTGTATATATATTTGTGGGTGTATAACGGCAAGTACTTGAAATATTTGTATATTATCTTGCTATTGCTGCTGGTGCGGTTTAAAATGCTTTAACACCATTAATCAAGCCTTTTTAACAACGCTTTTGTGGTGACCTAACCAGTGCGATAAAATTCAATTATTTCAGCAGCTGAAATTAATTGCTTTCTTGGGAATTTTTAAATATATTATATGAATATAAACTGCTTTGGAAAATGGAATGCTTGCTGGCTATCTACATATATATGTAAGTGGTGAGCAAGAAACATTTTTTTTTATGTAGGGATATATATATTAGTTGACATTGAGTTTTAGGCGAATCCTCGTGGTTTTGAGAAAGTTCTTCAATAATTTTTTTTATTATTTTAGTTCCATATTTAATAGATAGTTTCTACATAATTTTAAATTTTTTGCTTGGGGTTGCCTTTTAAATTATGAAAAAAATAAGAGAATCGGAAATAAATATATTACGGATATGATCTTTAGGTCTTAAAAAGGCTGCTTCAGAACGTTCCTTATACTGAGCACTAATTTTTTCACGGTACGATGCACTTGAACATGTGTTAGTCTCCAAAAAAGTAAATAAATACAGTTTACCCCGAATCGATTGTGCAAAGGGAAAACGTTATTTTGTGAACCCACTGTATATGGATAGTAGGCTTGGTTATAAGCCGATTTCGCCCATTTTCTCAACGTAGTATATACATAATAAAGTAATGAGTAAACGTATTTTTCATCAGATTTCAGTAATTTTCGGACTGTAAAAAGAGGAACTGGAACTGGTTTTCAGTACATTTCTACTAAATATTAATTCATAGAAAAATGAAATTTCATCCTTTTCGCTTCAAAACAACCCTCAAATATCGAGAATGTATAAAGCGTCTTGTAATTTATTAAGTTTTACGCCTCTTAAAGAAATAACAGTAAGTTAATTGGCTTGCGTGTGGAATCGCACTAAGAATTAGAAAGTTACTGCCTATTATTTGCTGCTCTGTTATTTAAAGTTAAGCATAAATGTGATTTTCCTGTAATTTGCCGTTTATACGCTCACCTAATCTTAATGCAAAGCTTATAGCACTATTCAGGGAGCTAGCTTAATCTAAATATTATTACATTTTACACATTAAGATAAGTAAATCCGAATATCACAATGTTTAGTGCCACATTTATATTCAAAACCGGTAAACAATATAAAATTTCATGATATTAACTACTTTATGGAAGTATTATTGTTTAGATACAATATTTTTAATTAAATAGTTGTATGGAATTTATTGGTTATATTTAGAGACAGCTTGAAAAGTATTTATCTTTTCAAAGAAACAAAAAAGAAAATTACGATTTTATTACACTACATATATATGTTATTCAGGGAGATGCTCAGATTAAAGCGATTCACCATATGCATTTTTGGAAATAATTTTTTTGGCACTATTTGTGTTTTAAGTGAAAATTTCCTTTAGTCTCGATTATTATCTCTTTATTGTCCCAAAATTTTTATCCGACGAATATTTTTGAGGTCTGTGGACAAAACAAAGTTACCGGGGTCCAGATCTGTGACATAATCAAATATTTATGAACGATATATTTATGAATATACTATGTCCAACCAGATCCCTTGATATTTTTAGAGCATCAGCTGCCTCGATCAATCTGAGTTTAGGGTCTCCCCAAATCATTCTGTGGTTTTTCAGATGGAATATTATAACAAAAATTAGATATTTTAATATACCTTTCTATGCAAGTTATTTGCTATAGACGTTCTAAATGACTTCTATCAAAGATTGTTGCATATTCAGAGATGGACAGTTGGACATATTGTATGTTCATAAACTTAGCAGACGTTTCTGAACTTTTCGGTATAATACCTGAAAGGCTTATTTCTATTTCATATAAAACTTTTAACTTCTACAATTTTATTCATATTCACGAAATATATAAAGAGCTATTGTATATGTATATCATTGGTACAGTTTTGTCATGTTTTATTAAATATTTTTTTTAATTTAGTGCAAATTTCTAAAACTATTCAGAAAAACCTTTTCGGAAGTGATATAATTGGTATTGGTGATACAATTATTTTGAGGCTTATGCGAGTGTAGGCCTAATTTAACTAAATGAAATCGTTCCCTTTCTAGAGAAAAGTATTTACCTCGTAAATTTCAATTTAAAAACTTAACCAGTCTAGCTACTAAAAAATGTCACCAGATGAATATCTATTGCTCTCCATATTCATCTCACAAATATTCCTAAAAATTATCCAGCTCGCATATTCCCATTCATAGCTAATGACCTCACCCCTAATTTCTTCTCTTACGAAACAATCAAAAATCAAAGTGTGAAATGTCTGGCATCCAGATACCACCTTTGTCAGCTACTCTGATTGTAATTTAGCCAATTTGCATACTGTTTGTAGTTGTGAGCGTTACATACCATACATACATACATAGTTGAAGACACGCAACTAGTCACATCATGAAATGCTTATCGATTTCCCACAATTTTCCGACTCTCCTTTCCCGTTAACGCAAACAAAACGACGAAGGAGTGCACGTTCATCTATATATTTTTTTTTTGCATGTTCACAAATACTTAGTTCTTAATACTTAGTTTGCTGGTGTGGAGTTGTTAGTGCAAGAAAGTTTGGTAACTATTGGTACCTTGGCACTACAACAAAAATGCGACAAGAAGTGCGCAAAAAAAGAGAGAAATATACATATGTGTGTAACTGTTAAATCACCGCATTATACTGGCGGTCATTGTACTTGGAGCAAATAAGCAGACGACTATGTCCTTTGAATGCCAACAACCAGTAACAGTAACTTTTCGGCATTGCTCGTATAAATGCGCAAGTATTTTTTGTTTAAGCATAAAAGTCCTCGAACAAGTTAGTTAGCAAGCAACAGGATGGAAAGAGCTGCGGTGACCAATGAACATTATGGCAAAGTTATGTTAAGCAAAAGTTAAGAGCCGAAAGCTCAAGGGCGGTGACGCCATGCGAGTAAAGTAGACATTCTACACACACAAATATGTATATAGGTATAAACATACATTTGTGAAATTATGAATTTTGGGTGTGTATGCTCGTGACCACAACTTAGTATGTATTAGCACATATGAGTATTTGGTATTGTCGGCCTTGTAATTTTACTGTCTGGACTTGGTCTTAAACTGTTGTTTGTATGAAAGCTTATAATATTGCTCAATATCTGTTGAAGTGGTGGACATGTTCGCACATATGCTTTTGTCAAATATTATACGAGATTGTTAGCATGGTGCTAGCATTACGTCTTTCTCCTTGGTAGCTGTGGCTTTGTGAGTAAAGGTAAGTAAAATGTCACCACTAAATTTTTTATGCTTGTTGCTTTGCCAATAATTCTATAAGTATATTTTTATACTGATTTGTGGTAAATGGTGGACGGTATTTACTTCGGTTACATCATAGAGTATTTATTCTAAAAATTGTGTTGATTTTTCTGTGAAATAGCTGGTATATAAGACATGGGAACTATTAATTGAAACATTTAATTTTTCTTATTTCCAAATGAAATGAATACTTATTTAATAGTGAAATAAGACTAATAATAAATAAAGAGAAGGCACAAGTGCGGTTGGAAACGAACTTTTTATACTCATGCAATTTCCAAAGATCAAGTATGTGGCAATATATTCAGGAGTAAACAAACTGTATATTTAACAACATATTGACCAATAATATGGAATAAAAAGTCAACCAGAAGTTTAAAATTTTTTATGTTATGGAGTTAGGGCCACTTTTGATTTGATTTTACCAATTTTCGACAAAGTAACTAATTTTCGACACATTACTAACGGGAAAATATGCTTTCAAATTTAATTAAGATATCTCTGATCGACCGATATTTTCGGTAAGGAGTCCACAACGGGCACTGAATCTGGTTCACCCAGACTTAATCAAATTTCGCCTTTTTTCATAATGTATGATGAAATAATACTTACGGGAAATGTCTCCAGCAAAGTTTAGTGGATATTGAGATATGTGAATAAAACCTATCGAGAGGCTGGACCAAGCTTTTAACCATTTAATTATTTTAAAAACCATTTAATGTTTCAGTAGAATTTCGAAGATAAGGACTTAATCCGATCGCAACTGTGTATAATGTAGACCCTCAGATATATGTTTCCAGCTTAACTGTATAGACTATTAACTAAGCGAACTATTTCATAAAAAGAAGAACGATGTCGAGCCGCTGGTGAAGAGCCGTTGTTATATTACGTACTAGCACTGGACCTATGGACCTCGCATGAGTATAGCAGACATTGATTGACGACCAGCTCCTGCGCGACTGTGATATCCTTCTGATCTAGAGTAGAATGGAAGAGTTCTGCTGAACTACTTGTACTTCATCTTGCCGGAACCTTAGGTGTTCTTACTAATACGCATTAATGCTGTAAGGCTGTAAGGCTACAAACTGTCTAAGTTGTATGGCAGAAGGTGAAGTGGAAACACTCAGGCATCATTGTCCAGCTTTTGCAAGACTAACGCTGAAACATCTCGGCAGTCATACCTTCGGCGAACCAGAAGTTATTGCCGAAACTGACATTAGCCGCCTCAACAAACTTGTAATCGACTCAAAGCGCTTCGTCGATTTTTAATGGTCTAGGTGAGCAATTTTATAAGAGCTATACCTAGGTATCACAATGAACCGGCAATAAGCTGTTCAAGTTAGATCCCTGTTAGGATCGACCTTTCAAGCTAACCTTTCAACATAACCTATTCTTTTGGCCACTAAATTACGTCACAATAAAGTGATGGTGCTTTTGATTTTATATTCTGTTAGAATAAGCCGGAAATGTGTTGGGAATCATGCCTTAATACTTAAATACAATACATACAACATCCATCCATAAAAACAGTGTCGTCAGAAAATGATATTAAAAATATGAAAGTCACCCAAACAAATAGTGTCCCCTTGCCATTGACTGGCAAGTGGTCTGCACTTAAGTGCAGCCTCGAGAGCTGCATCTGTATGTGTGTGTCATTGGTCAATTGCCTTCATAAATGCAAGTGAATTGCATCAATAAATTGTCTTTAGTCTTGTGGGAATCCGTCGTTACCTGTTGCATGCTACAGCTGGTGTAGCTGCAGTTGGTTCAGTAACTATATGAACCTCAGTCTATAAAATTTGATGAGGTAATGATATTTTCAAAAGAGTTCTTTAAGCCCAATTGTTTGTACGATTTTTTGAAAATCCCTGACTGTCTCAAACCTTTAAATTTCAAAGTTATGTAATATCTAGATAGCGACCAAAGTAAAGAAGTCACACCTTTTACTATTGTAGTAAAATTATTAAGGGTGTTTTTTATAATATAATTTAATTTTATAGCCAATAATTTAGCTTTATTATAAAGATAATGGTTTCCCATTATATTTTAAAAATGATTTCGGGCAAGTTTCGAAAAAATGCCAGCCAAAAGATCCGCGACGCGTTAGATGTTCTGTTTCAATTCTCGCTTGAGTTTGATTTTGTAAGCGCGGAAATCAAGCACATTCCGTTGGTCTGAATTGAAAGCTACACGTCTAAAAGACACCAGTTATTAAGGCGTATAATTTACGGCTTTTCCCTCAAAAATCATAAATATAAGGAACAATCAATGGCTACTCCGATATTAAAGCCCATCAATTCGATTACGATTTCAATCAAAATTGCACTAAGCACCCTTAACCACACTTATTTTCCGACAGTTATGTAATATTGCGGAACCCTGACCTTACCTCAATGAAATGCGTTAAAAATATCACGTCTCACAATTCACAAACACAAATCCAGAGAACCTTTCATAACGCTCGTGCGTGGCAAGCCAAAATAAGATTATGTAAAAGTTGGAAAGAAAACAATGCCGAGTACGCAAAATAACCAGATTATAAGCCAAACTTCGTAGACAAGGTTAAGTTGCAACTAATTGCGGGACAACATGCAAAATGCCACAACAACAATGATGCGTTTCTGCCTCGAGCGGTTGTTCAAGTGACTGACGCCCGGTAATTGCACTAATGGCCAGCAGAAGACATACAAAGACAAGGCAACAGCACATACGCGTGCAACTCATTCATCTATACAAATATACAAACAAATAGACGAGCATATTTGCCGACCGCCGTGTGTGTTCGGGGCATTTAAATACTCACATAACCGCAATAGTGTGCTGAGAATGGTGTGAGGCTTTATTGGTCGCTTGCAACTTGCGGAGAAATGTGGCATGTAATGGAATAACCGTAATAACCATAAAATGTAAATAGGTTGTGTATAAATGACATTTAAGTGGCTGTATTAAAACTAAGTCGTTTTTACGCAAATAACACACACACACACACACATTCATATATTTACATACAAATAAACATATATACGAATTGGTGAAAAAACTTACGCCCAATTTAATTACGCTCGTCACTATGGCCGCATTCCAACTATTTTCGATGCGCAGCAGCTCTTGTCGCGTCTCGACGCTCAGATAACGTGGCTCATGACCGGAACTCTGCAACAGAAAGCAATGCTGACGACTATCCACCGTTTCCGATTCTTTAACGACACGAAACATTGTCTGATAGACCTTGTAAGCCACCAGTGCCTTCGACAAACCGGCGACATTTAACTGTAAATGGAAACAGAGAACAAAAGGAAAACAAAAATTTGTTAGCATTTGTGAAGGATCATTTTGCAAGAAAGGAAATAAAGACACAAAAAGAAAGTAAGTAAGAAATCAGCGCATTCAACTAATAAATTAGCAACGGCGTATTAAATGGCGGGCCGAGCAACAATGGAAATTATTGCCAACGTTCAGCAATTCATTTACCCACATCTAATTTGCTTTGTGCCGAAAAGCATTGCGGATCTTTACGACAACGTTTTTTCCATTTTACCTCTATTTAAAAATGTGCCGGAATGTCCGCAACGATATGGCCATAAAAGCGGAAATTGCATTTAGAATTGATTGAAATGGCGGCTTGGCTTAATTCGGCAAAAACAATTGGCTAAAATAAAGTGAAAATTATGCACGCTTGACGAAAAAGATATGTAGCCGCTAAATGTTCACTTTCGAGAGCTTTGCTGCTTCAATAAGCTCTGCTGCCCCTTGTTATGATTATTGCTTTGCGTTTTGCTGCTTTATTATTGCGCAAAGATTCAAGCATTTTTATATTTAATTGCATCGATTGCTGCCCTATTTATTTTATCATAATACTGTTTGTTTATTATTGCGGAAGCTTGAGAAAAAATATATGTAAAAGCTCGCACGGTGAGATAAAGACGCTTAAATATATTGAATATTTCTAAAAAAAGCGCATTAACTGTTGAATGTATCTTTGAGATGTGAGCTATTTACATTTTTAAAAATTATTGGAATATGTGAGGAATCGAGAGCTTCATAATTTTTTAATTTAATTATAAAATAATACTAATTGTTTTGGTAATTTGTATATTTTATGTTTGGAAATTCATAATTAAAAAAGATTACAAGGAAAACTATTTTTCTAGCTTAGAAAAATTAGAAAAATTCAAAGGCTGATATACTACAACTTTACAGATTTCGATAGTTATGTGTATATCTTCTCAAATTGAACTGGAATTGATAAAAATAAGCTTAGGTTTATGGGGAGTTGAAAAAAATCTCTTTCTCTCTATTTAAGTTTTTGATATTAATTGTTAAATCTCGCTGAAACTTTAATCGCAAAATTAAAAAAGATTATACCCACAGAGGTACAAAAACACAATTCACCGAGGTCTATATAAACGAGAGTGAGTTTTTGTTGACAATGTTTAATCTTTGCCAGAAATACAGTAAGCTGTAACCAGCCTTCACCTCTTAACCGGCTAAGTTTACATCAAAGAACAGTACTTTCATTTGGCGGTGAATTTAAGTCGTGGAAAACAAATTAAATAATTTTAGATAAGTAAAGTTGTAACAATAAACAAAAAATTGTTCGTCGCTCACTAGATAATATTAATGTGAAGCTAGAGTTAAAATATTAATTGGATACGTGCGATGATTTCCGATTACCATTGTCACCCAATTTGAAAAATGAAGTGTTGAGAAAAACGTTCCGTAAGTTTTACCGGCTGAAGCGTACTGATCCAAACGGATCGACACTGCAGCGGATCGAACAGAGTATTTTTTTCACCGCCTTATCAATTGAGTAGTGCGTTTAAGACCCCAGAGCAACAAACAAAACAAAAAAAAATAAAAAATTCAATTTATATGTGACTATTTCTTTTTTCCTTCAACTCTATTGTATATTTACTACTACATTTATATATTTTCAGTTTTAATTTTCGATATTTCCGGTACTTGTATCTATATAGTAAAACGCCTCTATTAAGCACAAACTTAATTAATATTACACGTAAATATTATTATTTTTAAAATATGCTCTTATATAGCTATATAATTCCGTAACGGAAATAAACCTAACCAGATCACAAAGTATGCGCAAAATTTTTGCATACTTGTAGGCGTATTTTGAAGAGCAGGCAAATAAAAATATGGAATTAAATAAAAATGTAATAATTAAAAATAAATTATTCAATATTCGGAGTCATAATATTAGTAACATTTTTATTATTTTGGTAAATAGCTACCACAGCTTTTGGAACAGTATCTCGTTAGTTTTCAACAGTACAATTAAAATTAGGTATTTATTATAATCGGATTATCAATGGTAATAAATTTCCACTTATCTTGGCTGGCGATTTCAACATCAACTTCGCTAATAAAAAATCAGAGCGGTTGAATTTGAGTGTCTTTTCTTTCGGAAAAATTGAATTTGAAAATGAATAATGAATGAATGAAATAAAAATCCACAACAAAATATGGGTCCATCTTTGCCGCGGTATTTTCCAGATATTTAGAGAATATCAAGTCACAAGCTTATGTTTCTTATTTCAGTTACCATAAACCTATAGTTTCAATGATATACTGCACAAAACATAAAAAAATAATTATAATTGCATAAATTGATAAAAAAATGATATGCAATAGCTTTACCGCGGTAGTCCCCGAGTGACATACGTACTTTTTTTATATTTTTAACTCCTTATATCAGCCAATTGAACCACTGTAGCCTGGGACGTAGCAATTTCGTAACATCAACATTTCCCATCGCCTTGAATCAACAACATTGGCTGCATTGCTGCATAGTCACAGCATAAAATACGATTTTTATCTGCATAGTATGAGTGCTCGGAGAAAATTTTGCGAACAAAAAAATTCCATGCAACATAATTTTTTGCTATCTCACAGCACACGCACCAACACAACGCTGTGTGCAGGATATGCTAAAAGGAAATGCGATTTTCAATTTCAACTTATTTTTATGCACTTCTTTGTGTTTAGTTTTTTCAGCTTTATTATTTATGTACCATATTTATTTATTTTTTATATATTCTCCATGCTAGCAGTGCACAGTGAGTTTAAAATTTGCCTACACACACACACCCACGCTAGTATAGGTGCATGCATATTTTTTTTTTAGCAATGATTTTCTTTGCAATCATTGCTTATTTGCTTGCGCTGGCGTTTTTTCCATTGCAATGCAATTGCAAGTTCCAGCTCGAGTTGCGGTGAGTTACTTGGCGCCTGTTGGCTGTCGGCTTGGGTGCATTTGTATTTGTGTATGTATGAGTAGTTGCTAATATATTTTCCTCTGTCTGCTGATTTTACTTTGAGGTTTTTAAAAACAATTTAATTTTTTTTTTTGCTTTATGTCAAAGCGCTTGCGTATGTGTGCATATAAATAGTCACATGTGCACTCATTCACTTCCAAGTCCACGTGGCGTATACGTGACATATGTCAGTGCAGTAATCTTGTTGTCGGCTTTGTGCTGGACGTAAAAATTTTCTTTATTGCAATTCTATGTTGCTTTGGCGCATTATTGCATTAAATCTTAAAAGTGCTAGCAATAACTGGAGAGGTTGTGTGTATGTGTATAGGTAAGGGTAAGTAGAATTTGATACATAAATTTCAGCTAGTTTTGTATGTATACAGAATATGATACAAAGCTTATAGGTTAATTAAGCTGAATACATTACATATGTATATATATAATATATTATTAAATAATGATGGACTAAACAGATAAGTCGTATTTCGACTTATTTATATTTTTGAGCTGAAACAATGATGACGTAAAAATAGTTTTCGTAATTTTCGTTAGATCTTTTTCAAAAATTCATTATATAAAATGTTGTATTCGTAATTTCACACTAATAGTATGTATATATATATATATAATATCTCGTTCAAAAACTGTAAATAATACCATATTAAAAAACTATTTCAACAAGGCGACCAAACATACTTTTAACTTAAATTCTAGAAAAGTCATTTCGGCATTAAAATAATATTTTTAAAGGTTCTGCTTGATATCTTACTGATTTATCATGCTCCGGACCGCTTAAAGTTTCCATAGTAAGGTAGCAATGTTTGTGACTTTTTTCTCCAAAATTTCAGTACAATGATTCCCGGGCCCTGGTTTTCTGTATACGGCTCTGTTATATCAGTATTATAATACATGAAAACTAATTTGGAATTTGTATATTGTACGAGGGTTGATTTTGAAATTTATAGAACAAAAACAAATATTAATCATCGAAAATCATTTTAATGTTTTTCAAAATATTCTTCATTAAGATCTATACATTTTGGCATGCGTTTGAACCAATTGTCGAAGCACTTTTGTCACTTTGATTGAGGTATCTCCAAAACATGTGTTTTGAACGCATCAGAGGCGATTGATCAAGTGTCGAAAAATTTTGACCTCTTAGTTTATTTTTACCTACGGGAATAAAAAGAAGTCATTCGGTGCCAAGTCAAGACTATACGGTGGATGACTCATCAAATCGATGTTTGAGTGCTCAAATATGCAGTTGTTTGAGGCGATGTGTGAGAGCTCTCATTGTTGTAGTGAAGAGTGATCCGTCTTCGGCAAGTGGTTTTCCTGATTTCTTGAAAAACAACTAGTAAACAAATGATTGTGTACTTGGTAATGGTTTTAGGTTGTTCTAGTGGTATGGTTGTAACATGTCCAGTTGTTCCAAAAAAAAAAAAACCATTTGCTTGAGTGTCTTGTGCGCGAACAAATGTTTCTTCTGTTTCGACGTGTTTCGAAGCATCGCTATCGTAGTTTTAAAACATTTCTCTGGACGAATAGACACGAACCTTGTTTTTAGTGATTGACAAATTCTTACCATTCATGCAATATTGAATGTACATATGCTGGTCCCACTAGTGATCTCAATCTCAATCAAACGATAGGTCAAAACGATCTTGCAACCATTGATTTTGGACGCCCTTCACGAAATTCGTCTTGGAGTGATCTACGACCTCAATTGAAATCACCATACCATCGATAAACACTGGTCCTTGATGGAGCTTCAACGACAAAAATTGAATCAAATTCATTGAAGTACTGCTGCTGAGCTAATCCACGACGAAATTTGTAAATAATAATCGCACGAAAATGTTCGCGTTTTAATTTAAATTTTTTTCCGAGATGAATACGAGTAAAGAATACAAATAGTGCTCGTATGTCAAAACTTTGTGAGTTTGTATAACGTATAATATGTAAAATTTTATGATAAAGTTGTGAGTTGCCACA